GGTGGTGGTGGTTGACTACGAACCCGCGAGAATGCACATCCCGTTCCGCGGGCCCTCTTTCTTCGCAAGTTCGCACCACACGGACCACACCATTGAGGAATTAAAAGCCGCGCCGCATTGAGCGGGCAAGGGTCCTGACTCGGAATCCCTACAAGACCAACGAGCGGTTCCCAGGGTCCCCGATTTGTTACTACTGCTGCTGCCTATGGGGACTTCGAGAGAGCTGTTAGGAGTTAGGATGATGTAGTTGCGAAGCACCTGCCATATTGGGGAGTTTTTGAAGAAACAACCATTTTCAATGTTCGGAAAAAAGGACGCAAGCACAACGTTCCATCCTTACGCGAAGGAACATGCGGGAGGAAGAAGCAATGAAGATTAAGAAGAAGAGAGAAAAAAACAGCGCAAAAGATTGCGTGCGATACCGACGGCTGGGACTAAGTCACGTTAGGCCATAGGGTCCAAGATGAACAGTGACAGGGACCAGATTGGGCGATAGGTAGGTCGCAGGGTGACTGGGGAAAGAGGAAATAGACAACGGTCCAAAGGTCTAGATGCCGATCCTCAGTTCTTCTCGCCTGACAATTGTGAGCGCGACTCTTTGACTGCTTGCAACAAGCGCAAATACCAGAGGAGAGATACTCATCTCTGTATCCGAACGGGTACGAATGCCGTTCATTGTTGATCCGCAGAGTCAAGCACACCGATACCTGACGACTCTGGAACTTTTCAGAGAGGGTTTGCCTCGACGTACGGGGAATCCAGCCATTATCGAGTGGCTCCTCCATCATTCAATACAAACTTCAAGGGTCTTCGGTGTGGGTACAGATATTGGTACACGTACTCTCTCAATCAACGTCGCGAGGTTCCGGTCCTGCAGAGAAGGGGACGAGAAACATGAGAAACGACGTCTCCGCGAAGATCATGCGTTCGGAGCGAAATGCGGTGAAACGTAACCCGGACGTCTGGCTCTTGGATCTTCTGCCAATAATGCAGGATCCCGGCCTGGTTCGTTTTTGTTTTTTTTTCTTGCCCTTTCTTCCCTGTTCTTCCTCCAACCCCATTATCTGATCCCCGGAGTCGGGCCGGAAGTGCAAGAAAGAGAAAAGAAAAAAGAAACCTATCAGATTGTCAGATCAGCGGCCGGCGGCCAGCCAAGAGGGCTTGCGGGAACAAAAGAAGCCGACTTTGCTTCTGATAATGCTCAGGGAAGGGGACGAGGGTGGTAGGTGGCACAGAGTCCTCAATGACACTCTGCGAAGGAAATGGGAATCCAAGACACAGGCGCCCCCATGCTAGATGACTAGGTAGGACCTAGGCCAATACTGTTTCCGTAAGGCAAGAGAAAAAGAAAGCAGAGCAACAGCAGCTTTGTTGGTTCAAGGACCAAGTGTTGATCCCTCCCCCCCCCCTTCCCCCCTCCCCGGTGAGGCTGGCTGCTCTCTCGTCTAAGCGAACCGGCGAGAAACCAAGCATGGTCGTCTCATTGGGACCAATCACTAGTGCTGTTCACCGACCGCTCACCTGGAGAAGTCACCCATTGCCCTGAATCCTCTGCTTCGGTGGGAAACTCACCGAACGGCGAGGTCACCCAACCCCAATCCTGATTTATCGCGCAGCCGGCCACAAAACCCTTTCCCGTTCGATTTACCCGACGGAGCACCACCCCCTCTTCGGCACGGCAGAAGAAAAGAGAAAGAAACAAAAAGGGGAGGAAAACGGACAAGCCGCCGTTGGATAAAAGCAGCAGTCAACGACATGCGTCTCTTCCTTTCCGTCACTCTCTTACTCTCCTCCCCTCTCCCGTCCCCGTCATTCCCATTGCTGCTCGAAACCCACCTCCCCCGGTCCATAAAGAACCGACCAGTGCTAAGAGGGAAGATCAGCAAACGACCCAAACTGTCAGAATGGTACCCGGCCCCTCCTCCGGGTGCACGGACTGGATGCCGGGTCCAGCTCCCGTTTTCCGTGGGGCTCGGACTCTCTTGACGTCTGTCCTCTAATACCTCGGTGTCTCTCCGTTTCTCAATGTTCCTCTATTACGGAAAACAACCAGGTCGGTCATTTCCCCCCTTCGTATGCGAACATGTGTACCCGCGGCTATTCAAGACTGGCCCTGTCAAAGGGAATCCCAACCACTCCCTCGGTAGGCATACGTAGGGAGAGAGTGAGAGAGAGTGTCGGTGGGAACCAGTGTCCAAACCGACCACCTTGTGTTCCAGCAGGGTCCTTGAGTCGTGTTTTGTGGTTTTCTCGCTGTATTCGTACGTGCGCCCGTCCCAAAAAGACATGTCATGTTGGAGCTCCGCTCGCCGTAACTTGAGGGGCTCCTTTTTTTCTTGTCAAAACCATCTCCAGTAAATGCCCTCCGTCTGCATGGAGCACCGAGGTGCCCCTCCTCCTCCTACCTGAGCAGTGCCGGCATAAGAGGGGGGGGGAGACCCTTGAGGGGAAGTTTGCCCATGGGTCAATGATGTGCCCTTTTCCCCTCTTTCTCTCTGGCCTTTGCGTAGCTTATACAAAACGGATAGAGACGACTTGAGAGAACGTGTGTTTGTGTGCGTGTGAGAGAATGCGAGAAAAAGGCGATAGGTCCGTAGAGAGGTCCGTGTACGATGAGGGGTTTTGGAGTTGCGGTCCGTCCTGTTTCCTGCATGCAGCAAAACTGGGAACAAGAAATCCCTCTTTCGAACCATCGCCATGAGTAAGTAAGGTAGCACGAACGTATTGCAGTAACAGTTTGAGAAGGCCTTTTAGCGCGTGAGAGAAAGCAGAATAGGTGTGTTGGCCATTGCGCTGTGGAAGCAAAAGAGGTTGCGATATGGGCGAGGGGACGGTTGCAATGGCATGCAATGCGCTGCAAGAATCCGTTAGTCGTTGAAGAAACACCCCCCTCCCCTCCCTTGGGAATATGATTGTGGAGCGAAAGAACGAACGACACGAGAGAGAGAGATCCAGCTTACTGGCTCTTTTGCTCCAACCCGAGGCTTCAAAAGACACGGGCAAATGCCGTGGGCCATGCACAGAAGAAGACCCGAGGCTGCTCTCTCCCCCAAGAACGCGCACAGAGCCTCTGTCTTTGGCTAAGTCTTTTGCCCCGCTTGTCTGAGTGAAGATCGGCGCACCAGTAAGAAACAGACTGGAAGAGCAAATTGGGACCTGAGTTATTGTGAAGTTACTTCATATAACCCGAATCAATACCGAGCATCACGCAACTTGGCATCATATCATATGTCGCATGTACAACATCGCAACCCTGCCAGAACCGGATGGTCCAAGGCGCTCTTCAGTTACACGGAGAGAGAGGAATTATATACACCTCTCAAGTGCTCCCGTTGGGAACGTGGGTAGTCATCAGAACTTGATACCCTGGACGATGACATCAGACCGGGGAGGGAAAGCCGCATCGTCGAAAGGCAAAAAAACACCAACGCGTAAATCTTACGCTGGCTAGCAGGATCACACACATGTAAACACTGGTCACTGGAACAGCGCGTAGGGCAAAGATGATCATCCCATCTCGCAATAGACTTTGCGCCCAGAATTGCTTATCGAGCAAACCCGTTCCCGCTCGCAAACGCCCCTCCCCATGCCATCACACGTAGTTTAGGTAGGTAGTGTGCTCGAGGCGAGGGAAATCACGTAGAACTAAGGTAGCCCTTACATGCAGTGTTCATCACCACCCTCATCCTTATGTCAGTACACTCTACTTTTTTCGAACTCACCCACGGGTAGGTCGGTGGAAGGAAGAGGAGAAAGCCAAGCCTATTACCCTCAACACACCCGTCACCCCATGACATCCATCCAGCCTCACAGGGTTGAGGTTTTAACTCCATCCACAGAATCGTCAAACCATGGTTTCGAAACTACCAAATGGCAAAGAAAGAAGCTCGGCGGATAGACCCGCTCATCACCAGAAGCCTAGTCTACACCCTCAAACTCACCCGCCATGGTCTCATCAAACTCGTTCGATGGTAAGATATATTGTGCAGTTCAAACCTACCTAACCACACCTCGGCTCTCGCAGCTTCGCCCGAGTCTTAAAAGGGCGGCGGATCAATCGTCTCCAACCTACCACGGAACCCCAATCACCCAAAGACAGTTACATTGGAGTTTTCCTGCCTTTTTCCACCCCCAGATAGCATCGATTCTCCAACTCCCCATCCATGGCTGGCTTTGCTAATCGGGCCAAGGCGCTTGCCGTTGGTTCCCAACTTTCCCTCTCCACTCACACACTCGCGCGAACGAACCCCGGGAATCCAAACCGCAGGGAACCGCAGAAATGGAACGCATAAACCACGCCTTACTGAGCAGGACTCGGGAGAAATACTCATCGATCCGCCCATCCCGTTGATCAAGAAGAAAGAGAGAGCAAAAGAGCCCGACCGTATTCCGTATACCATATACCATGTACTAAACATTACCCCTTCCCATGGACCCCATCTGCAAGAGCGCCAACCCATCGTTCGTCGCTAGTTTCCCAGAAAAGAGACACCCACCACACACACACACACACACACACACACACAGAGGTTCACTCATTCACTCACACTACCTTAGCCTCCCGCACCTGGACCCCTTCCCCGGCACGTAGTCTGACAGACAAGCCAAGCCTACGGCGCGCGCCACTATCGACTAAAGAAAAAAGAGACAGCCCGTCCGTTCCGTCAGTCGGTCTCTTTCTCTCTCTGTGTATGTATATGGTGTGTGCTGAGAGATGTAATGGGTGCGCATACACCATACCCCATATGAATTGAACAAATTCGCCTTGAACCTCCCCGCGACAGATATCTACCTACGTAGACAGAACTTTGCCCCCGAAGAACACCTTCCCACCCACCACCTCACATAAACCGTTCGGTCGTTCAAGCTAGTGAAAACAAACGTGCGGTAAACGCCACTGGAGACACGTAAGGAAAGAAAGTAAATAAATAAAAAAGCATGTGCCCGTACCTAGCGGGTATCTATTATATTCTCGTCTCCCCGTCTCCAAACAAGAACATCCGGGGAGATAAAAGCCCACTCTGGATGTGCGCGTTTGAACAATGCCATTATCATCGCTCAACAAAAGAAACACAAAGACTAGCTCAAACGTTGCTTTTTCTCTGCTTTTCTTCCTCCTTTCGCGGAGACGGTCCAAAGTCCGAAGCTATTGCATTTCCCCGAGCCTTTTCTTCTTTCGTTCCTGAATCCTGCTCTGGTTGCTTATGAATCCCATCGCGGAAAAGCAAAGAAACGAAATGTTCCCCCGATGATCAGCCAAAGTGTCGGTCGAGCCAGATCTTTGGATCATTCTTCCTCGCCATTTTCTTATTCCAGTTACACTTCTTTCCGCCTTTTGATTAACCATCGGTCTTCGAATTTAGCTGAGAAAGAGCAGAGAAAGGCAGTTCTGGGTACAGAACAAGTCTTTCCAATATAGACAATCGCGAGACAGAATCTAATAGACCGAAGCAGTTCAACATGGATCGGTCTAGAACCCCCCGATCCCAAAATCCCCCTCTCGCTTACCCTGCTCCCCATCCCAACATATACCATTAAGGTACGAATAGCATCCTTTGTCCCCCCCCCCCCTTCTTCCCGTATCCTTCCCTAAACCCTGAACCCCTCCCTCCTCTTCCGTCGCCCGTCCATGCCGGAGAAAGAGCCCCCCTCCCCCCTTTCCCCCTCTTTACCATACTAAGTGTGAGAGGATTCAAAGAAGCTAGCTAAGGTATCAGACAATGGTAAGGAGGGCAAGCACACTTCGGATACCTTACAAAACCCGGGGAGAAGCTAAAGGCCGCCAAGCCGTCCAAACACCTCAACGTAAATCCACGACACACATACACAAAGCTTCCCTTTGACAAGGTAATATCTCTACTCGGGCGTCTCCCAGCCATATCCACTCAAACTCCGGGAACCCGGCTATCGCGCACGGCAAGTCTTCTTAAACCACCAATCCTAATAGTCTAAGGAGAAGGCGGGAACATATACGGCCCCGTCTCGGCCGTCCCTCCTTCAAATAAAAAAAAAAGACGGCATTTTCATCTCCCCAAACCCCTTGTCTCTCTCTCTCATTAGCCCTCCCCGTCTCCTCCGCATCTACAAGACTTATGCTTCACTTAATCATCCCACCCTTCCTCATTGCCGGGACGTGCTGCCGTAGATACCCTGATACCCCTTCCTATTCCTTCTTGGCTTCTTCGCCACCCCTCCCTCACACAGCGAGCGAGTGAGTGACCTTTACCATGCCTGCCCCTGAAGGTGCAAAAACACAAAAAACCGTTGAAAAAAAAAAAAAAAAAAGAAAGGTCCGACTTACCTACAAACCACACCCCCCCCCCCTTCCAATCCCATCCCTCGTCCAAGAATAAAGTCCCGAGGGAGCGGAAATCGCGGGGTACGGCGGGCAGAGAAGGCGAGACGCGCGCACGTCTCGCGCCCAGAGAGGTCCTCTCCTCTCTCTCCCTTGCCTTACTGTATGTACACTGCAACTACTCCCCATGAGTCCTCCGCTCCCCCTCCGAGACCCTGTCTCCAACTTCCTCTCCCCTTCCCAACACCTGTCTAGGAAAAGAAAAAAAGCAACATAGTTTCCGAGATACGACGTTAGCTTTCCCCGATACATACGTGATTTTCGCTCATCAAGCAACCCTCTTTCATCAACAGCAACGTCCACTTGTGGTAAAGTTCCCCGGTAAGGCGCGCCGTCACGGCAAATCAAGCATCGGGCGGAAAACGATCGGATAATCAAGGATGGATGGGCGGATGATGTAGATTCAGTGAGGAACAAGTAGGCCTATCCCGGATGTCTATCTACGTCCGACAAAGAGTCGACACCTTCTTGTGGCTACCTCCCCAAAGTGACTACTTCCAGCCGCGAGCTGCGGCTAGGAAAACAAGTATTGTTTCGGTATACACAGATTAGAGCTTCCTCCCATCTGCCACAGCCCTTCAGCCTCTCCTTCTCCAAGCAGACCTCCTTCTCAGCTCGCGTGCGCGGATAGGAATGGTCCATGTGAGGAATCTAACCCACAAACTTATGAACAATCCGGGAGTGGAAGTGTGCAGATACATGGCATCATTTTCTTTTGCGACCGACTAGAAGTCAAAAAAGGTCTGTAAGAAAGACTCCTATAACACCGCCAGCTTGCCCTCATGTGTTGTTTGGAATGAACAAGAAAAAATATGAACTCCCAGTCTGCCCAAGGTTTGATTGAATCTCAAGAAACCTACGCCCCAGAATATGCCTCTCTCTTTTCGTGCGCCGTTCGCCCAATGAGGAGCTGGTTGTCCATCCGTGACATGGGGGAAAATGTCCGAATCGTCTTCAAAGCAGAACTCGAGATCTCGTACGTCCAATAGTCGTGGCTGTGAAAGCCTTTGCCAGCGCTTCTCTAATGCTGGCAATCATCAAGTCGTGACGTGGAAAATGCTTTTGCCTCGCGGCAGTGGGCCCGTCGGATTTGTGAATCGAATGGATTGGGGTTGTTGCCGTGTATCCGAACAAGTCCGTCGATAAAAGGGGGGGGGGGAGATAAAAAGTCGAGGTTGCTGACAAGCTCACAAGACGACACATTTACTCTTCCCTTCCCTTCTGCCCACTTTGCGACGATAGCGGTCGCCACCTTCCTTGTCGTCGTACCTCGCTCCGGCATCGCCGTTGATAGGCCGGGTGCTGCTTCGTCCGCCGGGCTGCGGTCTCGAGGCGGCCTGTCTCTGCCTCCTCAATATTCTGACAACGTCGTAGAATGCCTTCTCGACGTTTATGCAGTTCTTGGCCGAAGCCTCGACGAATTCGCAGCCCAGCTCGCGGGCCAGAGCGTGTCCTTCTTGTGTCGAAACTTCCCTCTCGGTGACTCTGTCGCTCTTATTGCCGACCAGCATAATTGGCACGGGCGCTTGTGGGCTGGCTGCAGAGATTGGCGAGCCTGGGTAAGACGGTGAGGACGCACATGATTCCTTGACTCGTTGGATCTGATGATGAAACCGCTTGATCCGTGAAAAGGAAGATCGTGATGAGATGCTATAGACGAGAACGAAACCTTCTCCATCTCGAATCCATTGATCTCGAAGTGCTGTATACTCTTCTTGGCCGGCAGTATCGAGAACTTCCAACATGCATGCTTGTCCGTCAATGACAACTTGCTTGCGGTACGAATCTTCGATCGTGGGGTCATACTGTTTTCGGTAGCAAGCACGGTCAGCGGGCGGCTCTTGGCGGCGACAGCAGCGGGGAAAGCATGGATTTGGGGGAAGGGGTCGAGAGAGTCGACGACCGACCGAAGAAAAGAGAATGATGATGCGTGCGAGGCAGAACGAATAGGAATAGCGACTTACTGTTTCCACGAAGTGTTGCAGGCAGAGCTGGATTGTCAAAGCGGTCTTCCCCACGCCGCCGTCGCCCAGGACCACCAACTTGTACAGCACCATTTTTCCTGCCATGATGGGCAGCTATCTGAGGCGAAGAACGATGGGAGGAAGTCGAGTCTTTGTCGTTGGAATAAGCCGCTCGATTGATGATGAGTAGCGAAAGTCAAAGCGAAGCAGAGGTAGAGGGGCGATTCGCGGGGGGCGGAACGCGAAGTGGATGGTGGTGGTGGTGGTTCGTCGGTGATTGTGAAGGTGGTGGTGGTGGAGGAAAAGACGACGAACGCCAGTCGAGAATCGATGATAGAATAGGCAAGGTAAGAAAAAAAAAAGGGTAAGACAGGTAGGTAAGTACGGATAGGTAAGGTAGGCAAGGTTGGTGGCAGCGAGTGATAGGTAGTGGAGGCCGAAAGATGGTGGTTGTGGTGGACTGGTGGTGGCTGCAGGAAGTTGGGGAGCAAGGTAGGAGCCCAAATCTTGTTGGATTTTGGAGCCCGAGCCCTGGACGTGGACAGTGGACTCTCTCCTCAGCAGACTGGTGGATTGGATCGACCGGACTGGACCCGACAAGCCAGTTAGTACGTAGCAGCAGCGACAGCGGTAGTATCAGTAGCGGCGGCAGCAGCAAGCACCAATGCAGCACTGTGACTGGGGAGGGGTCGCTCGCGGTGGGTGCCGTCTGTCCCTGCTCTCTTTTTCTCTCTCTTTCGCTCACCCTCTTCTCTTCGTCTGTCTCTCTGCCTTTGCCTGGCCGGGGCTAAGGTAGGCTGGGCTGAACCGGCAACTGGCAACTGACAGGTTGGCACACGGTCGCGCGTTGCGGATGCGAATCGGTGCGGGCGGGTTAGGTGCAAGAGGAGGCCGATGGGCAGCTCAGGTATGTGTATGTACGAATACAGTATGATTGCGCGCACCCAGGCACATATGACCTGCTGTCTGACCCTCGGGCTGGTTTGGTTTGCTTTTGTCTTTCTCTCCTTCGTCTCGTCTCGTCTCGTCTTGTCGTCTTCTTCGTCTTCTTGGATGGGCAATAGGTGTGGAGAAATGACACACACTGACTGGACTGGCGGGTCTAGCTTGGGACCTGGGCTTATGTTAGATGCTTGGGTTAGGGAGAAGGATGATACCGGGATAAAGGCGAAGCGGAGCGGAGGCGCACAGCCGACTGTTGGCTAGCCCGCCCTTCTCCTGAGAGGCTGTCAACCCTCGTTACCTCCACGCGCCAACCCGAGCCACCCAGCTCTGTATCCGCCGTAACTTGGGCTGGCCGGGATGGGACGGGGAAGGGGACTGAGTGGCAGCGAGAGTGGGAGTGGGAGTGGGAGGGGGTCGACAAGGGGACAGGGGTATAGGAACGGGTTGGAGACGAGCGAGGGAGCGAGCCACAGCAAGCAGTTCCAATTCCACCGGCCGGTTGGGGTTTGTTGGTAACAACGTCGACGGCGGCAGCGGTAACAAAACCAGCGGCGCAAAGCAGACAGACAGAAGCAGACGAAAGTTGCGGTGCAGTGCGCTGCGGTGCGATACGGTACGTACTCTCGAGGGAGCGTAGTAAGGTAGCGTACGCATGCAGTAAGGTGAGGTAAGGTAAGGTAAGGCAGGGCAGGACAGGGCAGGGTACCTGGATTGTTGGTGCTGGCGTCGCGTCGGAGAACGTACCTTTGTTGGTGTGTGGTGCGAGGTTGATAGATCACGCAGTAGTAGTGTACTCGTACGCTATCGCAATACCGTAGTGTACGCAGTCGCAGTAGTGGTCCGACCTCGACGAATCGTCGTTTAGTCGCGGCTGGTTCCTTGCGCGAGGTAAGGTAGGCCCAGGTAAGGATATGGGGATATTGAGGCAAGCCGTAATCCGCAATGCGCAAGACGAGGGTCGGGATATGGCGTGGATGATGGATGGCGATTGTCACGGTGTGCCAGTAGCGTTGTCGTCCCTCCGAGATGCGGACCAGGGCAAGCTCTGGTCGGCTCGGTTCGTCGTGAGACGTCGGTCGGAGTTGGAGAATGCTGATTCAAGCGAATCAAACGACAGCGACTGGGCAAACCTCCAAGTTAGCTCCAAGTCAGTACCACGAGCTATCCCAGGATAGAGATATGCAGATGCCTTTCTCTCGCCCCTGTTTCCTGTTTCTATGATACCTCGACGAAAGTAAGGAAATTCCAGTATCCGACGATAGGATACGGATAGACCACACGGGACTCCGTACTCCGTACACAATTAGTGTACGCAGTAGTGGCCAGTGACCAGTGACCACAGATTGGCGAAGGGATAGGCTGGGCCGATTGAGGAGAAGGCGCTGACGAAAGTGGATTGAGCTGTGTGGACGACTGGAGGGGGAAAGGCGAGGCAGGCGAGGCAGCAGGGCAATCAACGGGGTAGGAGGGGCAGTGATCAAGGATGAAGCCGGCGACGGGAGACCAGCAAGACGCTGTCTGGCATGCGCTCGGTCCAGCACACGAGGGGCGATGGGGAGAGATTGCAAAGGTGAGATGGATGCGTAAACATACCGTTAGTGCTTCCGTCTAGAGATGTGGTGAGGGGGAGAAGGAATGAATCAGCGGGCAAAAAAAAAAATCCAAGTCTTGACCCGAGGCGCGGCGGCGGGTGGGCAATGGACGGTGTTGGCCGGTTTGGGATGTCGCTTGAATGAACCACGTACAGATAGGATTCAAGGTGAGTAAGGTGAGTAAGGTGAGGTAGGTACGAATGTCAGGAACGGTTCGAACGGATATGCAATGGGGAACGAAAAAAGAGACGCGCGCGCACACGAAATCGATGGATGGAATGCGGCGACGTATCCGCACCTGATATAACAATGGAGGTAGGTACCTAGGCAGATAGCTAGCCAGACAGCAAGTCACAACTGCCTCGTTCAAAATAACAACAATAACAAGAACAACAAGAACAACAACGCCGACAATTACCTGGGAGGATGAAGCGAGACAGGTTCATCAGGCATTGTTTGGGCACCTTTACCGGCTGTGTCAATGCAGCATGCCTTTCTTCTTCTCGTGATTCTCTGATCATGATGCCAGAGATGGGTATCAATGCAATTGTCAGTGGCCTTACAGGTATGCAGTATGTGCCTGGTGATGTGGTGCCTTCCTTTTTTCCCCTGGCCCCTCCCCTCTTCATGATGGACAAATTTTTCTGATTCGCCGAGTTCAAGCGCGGCAGGTAACGAGCAGTTCCTGGTTGCATTCCATTTGGAGAGAAGGAACGGGTTGCTTGTGAATAACACCTTAGGATGCAGGCAAAATGCAGACAAGCTGCAATGACAGCCCCCAGCAGTACGTACTCCGTAAGGTATTCCGTAGGTACCCCAACCTCAATCATGAACAAATGGAAGAAACCAACATTCCATTGTTCAAACGCTACGGATAAGAAAGCACGGCCTTACCTTACCTATCGTTCCTGCGGTTTTGCACCTATCTTCGCATCCCATTTCTGGCAAGTTGCTCCAAGCACGCACTTCACCCCAATAAGAAGGTACGCAGTACCCGACATCGCGTCACAAATTGATAACAAGACGTATGCGTTGAATTTTCTACGAGCTTGAAACCATGACGGCAAATCGTAAACCACAACCCAAGAACCGGACAGCCGCCGACAAACCAAGTGGCTGATGTACCCGAGGATGCTGAAGCAGAAACAGTTCCATGGGACAAGGTATTAATTACCAAGCATCTGTCACAGCCACAACCAGCGTCTCCAAGCTACGGAGTACCTACTTGCCTACCACTAGGTTCTTGAATCAAGAACGAGGCTGCGAGCCCGCCTTCAACCTGGACGTTGAAATGGAACACAGACGGTTATGGAGATGGAGCCCCAGCCGCGCCGGCCCTGGGCGACGAAGCCTCGTGACACAGAAGACGGCGAGGCTCAGCAGCGGATGGGTGCATTTATCCTTTTCGCACCCGTGTGCTGAGGACGAGGGGCGACGGGGATGAGGACGAGGACTCGGCGGATACAGGGACACATGCCAACAGCCAACAGCCAACCGCCCACTGCCGCTCTACCCTCCATTCGCGTCGCAGCGGTCAGATACCTTCCTACCTAACGTACGGTTACCGTGTCAATGGAGAGAAGCTCTCGAGAGTCGAGAGTCGAGCTACGGATACGGCCCACGGTGTTCCCTGCTCTGTGCAAGGTGACGTTTGCCTGGACAAGAATTACAACGACACCACGCCGGCTTGGGCTCCGATTGCAGCTGCGGGTTGCGAGCTGCATGTTTCCTCCTTCCAACATTAGCGCGGCTGTCTTCAAGAACGAACCAGCTGGTATTCCATTGGGTCCAATTGACAGCCCGCGCTGACGCAGCAGCCAATCCTCCCGCTTACCTAGTCCCGCCCACCTACACATGCTACTCTCATGGGCCAGACACGCTAGAGAGCAGCTTTTTCTCAATTTTTAAAGGTGCCGTAAGTACCTTCAATGGTCGTTCACCACATTTTACTAACGGAAATCGTGGCAAATCCACAGTTGTTTTTCCTTCGCCCTGGATATACTTGTCTTGTTCTATTCTAGCCAGTGCTATCTTCAAAAGTCAACACGGAATCATTGTGGTACAGAGAAACAAAGTTGGTCTCACCACAGTTGACCGAGGCAGACATATGCCACCGTTCGTTCTTTTCCTCGCGAATGAGGTGGGTACACCGTCGTCGTGGCGGAGGCTATCCCGTCCGAACGGTAGACACCGATACGAATTTACCTGGTCCAATTTTGGTCAGCTTTCCAAGGGCAAACTTTGCATCTGCGTCTCTTCTATTTCGATACATGTTCGCCAAGGGGGTTTTTTTGCCCTCTCACATTTCATTCGGTACACCGTACAAGCCGGACACTGGGCACGAAGCTTTTATTTTGTGGCTACAAGTGGCCCACTAGGTCATCCAGGCATTTACCTTCGTGTTGCTGTCGCTGAGCGGCTTCACTCCCCGGCAGAGCCCATGCGACCACCAACTGGAAAGTTAAGCCATAATCGTCGTGCCTGCCTAGTATTTGCGGACTGTCAGACATACCTGGCAGCTGCAGCAACGAATGCACACTATCGCAAAAATCCAGCTCAAGCTTAATCGTCCGGACCATAGCTTGCTTGCCCCGGTCTGGTATCTGTCTGCGACCCGCCCTAGTCAAGGCCAATCGACTAGTGGTCAGTAGACAGAGCTGTCCCGGGCCTGGACACGGAGCTGGACCTCAAATTAGGACAACAGGGCAAACATGCCATTGCCAACGATTGGAAGAGTCAAGAGGTCAAACCTTTCCTAGACCGAGATCCAGGCCAGTCTGGTCCCTCCAAACCACCATCTCTTCACCATAAATCGCTTCATCAATTGCCTGATGATGTGATCTAAACTACTGACCCTAGCTTTCTACCAATACTTAGGGTAGCTACCCCAGCTTATGTGCCTGGTCCCGTCAGCTCGTTGGCCGCCAAGCTACTGACCTAGGTTTAGTACTTCATTGCGACGGCATATTAGACGCCGCGTTATCAAGCATCATCAACAGCGAAGTCTCCGTCACCGCAAGGTGTATCTCAGTCACAAGCATCTGAGGCAAGCAAAGCCGGCGGCGTACGAACTCCCGCAGTACAGGTGGCACATGGAAGACGTACAAGTGTGCTTCCGTTCATGCACATGACGGAGAAGAATGGAGGGAAAACGTGCCTGCGATCAGTCCTGCCACCTCTATCCGTACCTCTGCCTGACGATGCTGACCATTCGCTCGTAGCAGCAGACTCGCACCGCTCATGCCACTGCTGAAAACCTGGCCCTTGACCCGAATTCCTACTGGGCAATGCAGATGTGGCTCCCAAAGGATTGCCCACCGATGCCCACAATAGACACTAGTAATGCATGCACCTCACAGACCATCCGCCCGCTCTCACTCTCGTCACCAAGTCGGATCCCTCGCCCAGCAAGGTGCTGACCGAACCCTTAGATGCCGTGATGCCTGCCAGAACGGCTGGGGTCGGGAGGTTCACGTTTGCACAGTTCGTGCCTTGCGCTTGTCTGCCACGCTCTGCGGACTCTATCTCCTTGCGCCTGAGGCATCACCTACAGCAGAGTCCAGACATGGGATGACGATTGGGAGCCGCTAAGGCAGTACCGGGACGTCACCCCACTCGGCGCCGACCACTTCGCCCAATCGGAGGTATCCAGGCGGTACCCACCAATGACTACCGCCCACATCCTCCAACCACCGCTCGGCCTTTCGACCCCTCCATCTCTTCTCCAAACCGCCGTTTTCACCTTGCCCGAGCCACCCCCGAACCTCTCTCGGTGGTGGTTGGTTGTTGGATTTTTATTGATTCAGTAACGAGAATCGGGACCGAGGGGAGACGAAGGGAAAAAACTTTCATCATGCCTGCTCTCCCTTGCAACAGCTGCATATGCTCATCCGGCCCATTCTCGCGACCCGGCGACCGCGGCCCGCCCTGCAAACAGGGTCGGCTTTGGTGCTCGCCAAATAGCTTCCGCAGCACATCAACATCACGAGACGAGACGCCCGGACCAGTTGCTTCGACGTCATCGAGCTATTGTGACTCTGGTCGCGTTTGACCGCCTGATATACGCGGTTGACAGTGTGTGCAAGTAAGAAGAGTTCACTTATCCTATGTCTATGACGGCTTCGAAGATTGTCTGTAGCACAATCTTCGGTCCCGGCCGTACATACATGGAACGACGTGCTACGGACATAGAGTAGCGTACACAACGCAAGCAGTCATGTCTCAACCCGTCTCTCTGCCGAGCCGCTGTCTTACCGGCCTCGTGCCAGACCCAGTCTTCCGGGGCGGGCTCCGCAAGAGGCTCGCTCGCATGAGACTCTCGCGCTTCTTGCTTTCCGAAACAAAGTATCGAGCATGCCGCACCATGTTAGTTCCCGGCTGCGGCAGCACGGCCCCGTTCAACCTGCATTGGCCCAGCTTTTATCCGGGGCTCGTTCGGTCTTTGCAATCTCGTCATCGGCAGTTGTTGTCGTTCCAGTAGCCAAGAGTACGAAGACTCTGTTCTTACGATCTGCTTCTCTGGTGGGACATCCTCGGAGCCTAGTCTTCGAGTCGACCGGAACGGCCAATGGTCAACGTCGAATCAGGCCAGCGTCCGGCCAACAAACTGATTGCTTTTTTCACGCCCACTGTGTCAACTTGCTTTTTCCTCGGCTTTCGTCACATCTGAGGCTGGATACGCTGTCACTCCAAGGGCTGAATCACTCATGTCTAGTTGATTGTTTGAGAATTCAACGGTCATAAGCCGGAGGAGGTTCAAGTCAAGTCGATGCAGCCAGAACTCACACAGTTAATGTCTTGGACAGTAATTTCATTGTCTACCATTTTCCTACAGCCGTTATTATATTTGGACTGAACGACGTCTCGAAACGCTCCGTCTTCTGAAGCGAATATAGTAGCGAGAACCTTGAGAAAGCTACAATTTCCCTAACTCAGGTCTTGTCACCAGTTGTCTTATTCTCACTGTGCTGTCAATTTCGGTTGGGCTAAATAAAGAATAGCAACCTCCCAGATTCCCGAGCGACACAAAAAATAGGCTGTTGACAGCTTTGTCTGTGCCGTCACACTGCATAAATAGGGAGTAACGAGACGCCTCGATTCCCGCTATTTATTCCCAACGTCCGGATAGACAGCAAACACGACGTGGAAATTGGAGTAATCCAATCGGACGACTCCCCCGGCCTTTGGTGTGTCCTCGGCTTGCATTTGTCGTGATCCAAGTATATCTCCATTGCCGGACGTCAGTGGGAGACGGTCAACCCAAACATACTTGCCTCGGGAAACAGATGTTCGGGAAACTGACAAACCCTATGGACAAGCCGGCACGGTCGCTGTCCTTACGATTTATGTGCACGGCAGTGTGACGTGTCTACGGTGAAGTTCACGAGAGTGGGGTTCTGGAGGCACTAGGAGACGAAAGTCTGTGACGGCCTCCCGGCCCGGTTCACTGCCAATCGTTCAGCTAGCGGAGGCTACAAGGTTGTTTGGTTCCAAAACTTTTTCCAAAGTGTGAGTTTACCTTGGCCATGAGCAAGCTTAGACAGAGTTATCCAAAGGGGTACGGGACTGCGTCTGCCAGAAGTGCTGCAGCGCTGCCCTGCCTGCCTCGGTGCGTTGACCTTGTCAGTCATCACACGAGGCACGGAGGGAATCGCAGCCACGAGCGTAGGGTCGCCATCTTGAAACACGCGCGGCCAAATGACCATCCCGTGGATCCAGAAGCCATCGCACAGTAACGCGTTTAATTTTCCCCGGCCCAGGGGATGCTTAGAGCCAGCGTTGAAGCCGGCGCTACATACCACCGGACGGACGGTCTTGGGATGGTCGACTTGGGCCGGAAGAAGAGGCCTCGAAACACCCAAAGGCGCACTTGATGACTTACAAGACCATCTTGCGGCATAACGACAGAGTTACGCATTCAATCTGTCTGACTTTCGAATACAGGCTGTCACAATCTCGGCTTCCCAAGTTTGTCAACACCGTTTGCGTTGCCGGTAGGTATTTGGAACGACGTAAGACTTTCAGAACCTTCAATTTCCTTTCGATCCAAGGGGGGAATCGAAATTACCTTTCCCCCTTCTCAAGCCCCAACATCTCAATACGAAACACGATTTCAAGATGAGCGCTACCAGCCGCCAAAGCATAACGGAGCCCAACCCCTTGACCTAGCATAAGCATAGCTCGGCTGTGCCCGTGTAACGGCCCGCGGAGGAAGGGGGGCACATGGGGATGGAAGGACGGGATAGAAAAAGAAACGACGAGACAAGAATAAGAAATCAAAACGCCTTTCAGCCGCGAACGCACGACTAGCCAACCCGTCCAATGGTTTGCAAAACAATAGGCACAATGACATAAATGACAGCACGCGTTATGTAGGTACTGCGCAACTTTTTCGGGAGATGATAGGGGTCCCGTTTAGCCACGTTCTTCCCATGTTTCCATTAAACTTTTGTTTTTTCTTTGGCCCTGCCAAGACTTCCAACTGCCGAGATTTGATGGGATGGGACCATTCAGATGTTTATTGTGGTAAAATGCAAGAAAGCTACCTTGCCCACCCTTCCGATCTCAATCTCTCGAGAAGAATGAGTGTTTGCTAGTCTGGAGATCGGGAAGAGAGAGACATAGAGACTCATATTGGAGATACGAGTTTGGAAGGGGGGTGAGGAGGAGGCTAGAGACAGCTTTGCTGCACAGGCAGAATGGAAATGGTAGTAATTGGCATCCCGCCGTCTCCAACCCCCCACGTCACACTCGCGAACGTCGTTCTGATCTTAGTGTTGTGACATCGGAGCTACGGGGAAGTATTACCTGGATTTACATATTACCAGTCGCGTAGACACAATACAGCAGTTCAATATTTTTGTCCGTGAAGACATAGAAGAGAAACAGAGACGTTCTAATTCTCTATCCGCCCGAGTGACGTAGTCGGAAGTCGATAAGCCTCTTCACGCAGCCGATCTGATATGTCCACAGAGAGACGCATCGGCAGTCCGGCAGTCTAGGCCAGTCTCTGTCTCCATCCATCTCTCACGCTATGCCTTTTCTTTTAGCGACAACCTCGCCAATGACGGAAGATAATTCCAGACACCTTGAAGATGGTACGAGAAGATACCACCTCCGATGGACATCAGGATCACGAAATCGAGATACACGATTAAACCGGGGGTGGGGGGCTGGTTCAGGTGGTAATGGGAATGAGCTTGAACGCTTGAACGCCGGGACAACTGGAAAAGCTGGAAATTTGATCGGTTCCATCGCCCCGGCGCTCAAGGTCCCGATTCGGGTCTTCTCCTCCGTGTAGAGTCGCCTTCCGAGCACCAGGCGGCAAGCACGGTGCACCCCGCTTCCTGCTCCCTCCCCCACCCCCCGCGGTGCACGGTGGTGTCGTCCCGGACGCCCGGGCCTCCGAAAACTTATTGTGTAGAGAACGACGACGTCTCGGGGAGAAGACCGTCTGCGCGAGTGGGTGTCCCGCCGATGCGGCGCGATCTTACGTCGCGTACAGATAGGTGTCTCCCTTTGATCATTCAAGAGATTGCTACGTACGTTGCCATGGATTGGCGGATTGCCCGATCACTCTTGCGAACTAGATATTGCTGGGAGAAACATGGGAGATGAGGTAAGAGTCGAATGACTCCGTGTAAAGGGGAGGTTGGATTAAGAATCTGGGAAAAACGTCACGCACCAGGGGAGAGGCTGGGCCGTACTTGTTTCTTTTTCAATTGGGCAGTCTGTTATAATGGATGCTTGGCTTGAGCAGCTTGCTCATGTTTTGCGGCGAGTTCCTGATATGGCGTTGTCAGTTTTACGTCCGTAATGCAAGCCGGAACAGAGGGCTCGATGACATCTGACCCACCCCTAATTCGTCTTTTCTTTGCTCTGTTCTCCACACGAGCTGTCTCTCTGCATCTTCCACGGTTCTTCTCGGGCGTAAGGCTGATAGCTTGTGTCCCTCGAACGTCGGGCACACCGTGTCGTTGGGCAACACTTTTTCTTGACGTGCCGCGGGATATGACATGCAGCTCTGCAGATCTGCCGCTGTCCATTCCTGGTCTCACCACTCGACGTTGACGTTTACGGGAATTTGACTCTTGCCTACCGGCTAGTGAGACATTGGGGGCCAAGTCCACCAAGGAAAGAATTATACGAGAAGAAGGGGCTCCTGCAGGAAGGTTGCAGGAAGCAGGTGGTTGATTCTTATTCTTTTGCGGCTGAGAGTAGGGAGGGTCTTGGAGCGTGTGAGATGGAAGGGTTGGGTACATTAGAGCCAAGCTTTGTCGGTGGGTGACAGATAAGGCTACGTAACTTGTGTGTGTGTGTGTGTGGATGGAGCTGTTTTGGTCGGTGTGATGAGTGTTAAGAGTGTTTGGCGGACACTCTTGCGCACATTAGGGAGCAGTGGTGGACTTAATGTAAAGTCATTTTCGCATGCTACATTAACCATCTGTTTGCTAGTGATTCCGGTAGAGATGTGTATTTGAGCGTTCAGATATCTCTTCTTAATCGTCTCTAACCTCGTGAAATGGTATTTGGTAGATAAGTATGCCGTTTCTTGTATTTTTTGGCCAACTTTCTATGCCGTTCTTTAGTCGAAGCCGATCATTTTGTATATGCAAATTCGATTCTCCTTCTAGGTCAAGATGCGACTCTAGGTGGCTGCAGGTTGAACTAGAGGCGTCCCATGTCGTCTTACGCAGCAGGCTCACCCACGAGCCCTGCGGCAACTCGGCTTGATGTACTTTAAGCCATCCCGGTATTTGGAAGAGCTGCTTCTTTGCGTAAGCGTTCATGGATCAAGAGGTGCTTGGGTGAGGAAGTGTTCTGTATGCATTGATCAAGTTAGTATGGCCCGCGTTCACTCATGCTTTCTCCATCGTCTTTTGTGTATCTTTTGATGCTGCCTGGTAGATGTTATCACGCGGGAGCTTGAAAAACTCTAAGAGTATTTGAAAAGGAAATACCGTCTAGTCTAAGAACAGAGTTTTCAGTAGTACTGATTGAACTCGAAGTTAAAATGAGCTATTTATTAATGCAATAACAGTCACCGGATCACCACTTGCAGTATCGAAGGAAGATGCCATCTGGCGAGCCTGTCACAAGACTTGAATTGCTGGTGATAAAGGGAGATGTGAGAAACCATGCTTGGGAGGATTTGGGGCTGAGTTCCGGCCTGTATTTTTGCAAGTGAACCTACCAAACATGGTCCTGCAACTCGCTACAAGAATTGCTAGAGTTGAAACCATAGAGAGAAGCCATGACACTGCATATGTGACATGAGCTTCTACTTGAGATGTCGAAGCAGCGGCAATCCACACTCACACCTTCCAAATTGATATTTAAACATAAACTATTAGACGGCCACCAATCTATACGGCTGGGCATCACGATTAAAGGACTATTTAACCTAGAGCCTCGATTACGAAGCTAGAATTGAGTCAGCAAAGGAAACTTGCATGGTGGGCCTTCACCTCCCAATGCTTGAGGCGAGCTGAGAACAACCTTTCATTCTTCGTCCTCGCTAGTCCCGACAAGACGATCCATGATCGGATTATATTGACGTTTCGAATGACGCTCCCCCGGGGGGGGGGGGGGCGTTTCCTTCATTTGCCCCTGATGTATCCCAGAGGAATACGCCTCAAGAGAACCAAAAGAAAAGCGTGCGTGTATGAAAATGATGACTTTGCTAAACGGGCCGTCCTAGATGTGGATGATGGACGGCCAGGATAAGTCAAAACCACAGACACAGTTGACTTCGGACTGGTCTGAGTACCTTGACGGCGCAATCAAGGTGCCTTCATCCATACTACCAGGCCAATCAGTGGCATGGAAGATTGGTCAAGAGCACCGTCCGTGATTATATGTTCTTCTCGGAGGCATCATTGCAAGACATAGCAAATGCTCTTCTGCCCCGCGGAAGACGGAATCGCAAAAGTCTGCGCCGCAGTGCGCGTCCACCAATATACTGACGACACCAGCGATGCTCTCTGGTTTCTTTGAGTTTGAAGATGGAGCTCCAGCGCAGAGAACTCAAGTGACAACTTCAGGCTGGTTGAGAGGATGCTTATCGTGAATGTCATGGTCGATCTGGATCCTCAGAACCTTCGCACGAGTGTAGTGACACTGCCCTCATCCTGTAAGTCTCTACTATCCGCGCGGCGTTTGCACTGAGAATAGGAAGAGAAGGTCAAGGAGGGAATCCACCTAGTAATTAGAGTATTCTCCGGGATTCCATCTCTATCAGGTTTTCACAAGACAAAGGACAGATAAGTTCGGCTCATTACTATCTAAGACAACGGGACTTCATCTTGCGTGGCACCCATTCTTTTGTATATAATAATGAGTCTCGCACGGTTTATAATCAACAAGAACATCCTCCGAGTATTGCTGCCGTGCTATTAAGCTCAATGACAATACTTTTGGCAGATACTAATCCCTTGCATATATTAGTTGACACTTCTTCCTCGAACCGCATTTGATTATGTCTCAGAATGCCTCGAAGGGCATGTATAAGATCCGAATAGAAGTTATAGAAAGGAAAAGCTGAAAAAAAAGGGGATCGCCTGTGGGATTCGAAACCACAAGCTGCAGCCCGGTAAATCTGCTCTCAGGCTTTGGTTATTAATATCGTTGGCTTCTGGGCAACTTTCCCTTTCTTGCTGCTGTTGAGAATTTGCGAGGTGAATTGGACTATAGACCCTCCTGCCTGTGCCGTATATTCACCGTCGATTATTGTGTCCACTCCATCAAGACGCATGATACAGAAGAAAGTGGAAAAGCCCGAACACTCAATATCACAGTTAACAATGCGCTTGAGATCCGTTCCTGAATATGGACTAAATATACCATCATCCCTCAAACACCCAACCGCCTCGCAACCTCCTCAAACCCACCCTCCCCCTCCTTAACCCAAATATCAACCCATCCCTTGGCATCCTCATACCTCTCGCTCCCAACCTCCCAATCCTCCTCCTCCGGCCTCTCAATATAAACAGTCCTCATCCCCCGCCCCCTCGCAGCCATCAAATCCCCCAAATGCGCCGCCACCATCGCAACCTCCCTCGCCTTCCCACCACCACCGCCGGCCAAAGCCTCCACGGCGCCATCATATACCGCCTTATTAGGCTTATATGCCCTGAAATCCTCCGCCGACAAAATCTTCCTAAACCCGAGCCCGCCAAACGAATCCAGATCCCCCAACAGCGTCCTGTTCCCGTTGCTCAGCGTCGAGGTGACGTATCTCCCACCCAACCTGCGCAACCCTTCCACGGAATCCGCCCACGGCCGGAGACGGTGCCACACGAGGCTCAGCTCGCGAATCTCGTCGGGGGAGTAGATCCCTTCCAACCCCCACCCCTGCAAGAGCTCGACGAGGCTGTCGTGGTGGTGCGCGTCAATGTCTTTCCAGGGTGTCTGCTCGGGCACGTAGCTGCGCACGAAGCGCATGTAGGAGATTCGCCACTCTTGGGCAAAGGCTGGCCAGTTTGTTGTTGCGAGCTTTTCTAGCTTTTCTTTTGTGTCCTTGTCATTGCTGGTGGACGTAGAAGGGGGAGAGGAGGAAGAGGCGAGCTTGGCTTTTGCGCGGGAGGTGAGTTCGTCCACCACCGAGGACCGCCAGTCCACGACTGTGCCAAAGACGTCGAATGTCAAGGCCTTTAGGTCGCGAAGGTTCTCTGCCTTGATGTTCGGGAGGTCGCCTGCTATGCCGGACATGTTTCCTTTATTTCGAGCTAGTTGTTGGAAACTGTGTTATCTTTGATCTCACTTTTCTCTTTACTTTGATAGAGTCTTTGGCTGGAAATCCTGGAAAATTGCTTCAAATGACCAAGCTTGGGAGTATATGAAACCGAGCAAATCCTGGAAAGGGAAACTGTTGTAGTATAAAGAGCGTAGAGGGGGAAGTCTATCAAACCTGGAGGCGGGGTCGGATTGCTGACTGATCCATCCCGAACCCCGCCTGTTCTCTCGGACCCGGGAGGGGCCGCGGTAAGACGACGTCCCGCTCGGGTAGCCCGGGCGGGCGAGGAATGCCAGACAGACCTGAAGACGTGTGCTCAGGAAACTTTGTGATATCCTCTTACCATCTGTTGAGTAATCTGAGATGCACCCGAGGAATTAGAAGTTTACGGTTCTTTTTTTAATCATCAACGGTGATCAAAACTGGCCGCGGAAACGACCTCATCGGAAACATCAAGTATGATCCAAATCCAGCTCTCATGAACGAAACTTTACGTATAAGGAGCGAAAGAACATGAGCCAAGACATGTCTGGAATTCTTTCCAAGAATGAAATGCGGTACATGTTGGTGTAATGCGGCTCCGTGAAGTGCGTCACATTTACCATCTTCCGAGAGCCCGCTCGCCACGCATCTATCTCGAACATACATGGTCGCTGAGCCTCCGCAATAAACAAGCACAAGAGTAAAAGTAACCATGACAAGAAGTAATACGATCTCTATCAACCTCACAGTCACGCTCTCTGCTTTACACGGAGCATTCGGAACCGAAACATCTCGATGACGAAACAGCATTTGAATCTACGTGTTTAACTACCCACACCAAGAAGCAAACACGAATTCCCTAGGAACAAAGCCATCACCTCCCACATGAAGTCTTTGAAGAATCGTATGGACATCTTGAATTCACACAGACATCCACAAAGTTCAACGGCGGGCTGATCGGGAATAATTTCAAATATCCCAGCAGCCCCAATCTCGGGTTGCTCAAAGCCCTGCCTACTCAAACGCCCTATCCCCTGTTCATCAGGTTAAACGAAACATACCGTATGCCTCCCCTCCATTTCGTCTCTCTGAAAGCCTTGTTTCATATCTGCGATGACGTCCGAAACAAGTGGATCGTGTGGCTCAGTTTCTTCCGGGACGGAAAACATGCGTGCAAGTGTATACAAAATGACAGCCTAATCTCCAGGAACCAGGCCCTCGGCTGTGCGCATTGTTGACCTGGGTCTGTGAAGTCGTTTTTCGATTCCTCAAATACGGATACCCGGTACTCAGAGACGACTGGGGGCCCAAAGAAAAAGGGGGAACACGAGTAAGGAGATTGTGTCACACCCAAAGACGAAGCGACGGTGAAAGATGCCAGGCGAGACGGGCGAGATCTTTGTGAAGTCCGTGTCGACGGATCTAGACAAAGTTCATGTTCGATATCTGATGACGGAGACGCCTAATGTGTGCCCAACCTGGTTTGCGAGGAATCGACGTGCCTTCATTGGATATTTTGATATCTGGTTAGCCAGGGAAGTAGCAAAGATCGCGCCGTGATCAAATCACGCAGTCTTCCTTCACCCGATGGTGCCGGCCAGGCTGAGTCTTCGAGTCGGTCTCGTGGCGTGTAAGCCAGACCATCAGTCGGAGACCAAGCCAGCTTGGCAGGCATGTAATTCATCTTCGCGGTCCTCTTTGTTACGCTCATGTGTGGAACTGCAATTTCTTGCTTTGTGTCATTGTCGCCTTGGATGGACGCGAACGGAAACAAACAACGGCTGAGACCTCGGCTCGTCCTTCGCGTGGCAACACGGAACGCGGCCTCAACCCCTTTGACCGCGCAGCCGTGTTTGAGTCAGTAATACGGATAGAGCCTGAGACCGAACGCTTCTCTTGAATAGCAAGCACCGGCGCAAGGCTTGCATCCCGGTGATCATGTTTGATCCATGGCCTTCGGAAATTCGGGCATCACCGTCCTGCACTTTGAGGATCAGGGTCGTGAAGGACTCCCGCTGCTGTTCTGGCTCCCCATTGTCATGATTAGCTCACCTAACCTCCGAGTGCTGGCCATCGTTCATCATCTTGTATGCTGTTCCACCCTCATCCTCGCTCGCTTACAGCCAACCGATATTCGCTGATGTTTCGAAGGACGCCCTAGTCGTCAAGTGGCCCAGCGACACTGAGGATTGGGCACCCGCTCTTGTAGTGTGCTCTATGGTAAAGGCACCACGCCTTCGTTCATCTCGGTGTGCCTCGCCGATGATGGAGCCCGTCGAGGTATGTCTTTTGGCACCGTCTTAATATTGCAGTGCAACACGCCGACCTCGCCGGCCCCGGATATTTGCCGTCAGGCGGGGGCCCCAAGGACCAGGGGCAGTGGCGGACTGAGTTGCCAAATGCGCGCACTGACGGCGTTCGTGGCTGCTCAGATGAAAGATCAAGGGGAAATCTTGGTCGTGGCAGAACACGTCTGCCCTCCCGCAGATGCACGCGGCGTTCGGTTCCCCATGCTTTGATGTGAATAAGCTAAATATCTAGCACTAACAGTTAGTCCAGACGGATAGCCACAAGACGGTGTGTTGCGGATTGCGTTGCCCACGTGGCAGAGTCGTCCAAAATAGCAGAAACAATGTCAGAAATTCCCGGCCAAATGATATGTTGGCAGAAGAAAATGAGATGGATCACTGATGGGGGCGAACATGGTTGACCAAGAGATGAGGCTGCTTTGGGAAGCCACGGGAAATGACCTCTCCATCTTTTGCGCAAAGTTTTTGACTGCCTCGTATGACGCGGGTGCGAGATGATACTACTGTGTAAAGTGATGGGGCGAGAGCGAATCTGTTTCGCTGACGCAGCCTCTTGTGCCTCCTCATGTTTCCCAAGCGTACTTCGGTAAACGGCGGTCTCTTCTTTTTCGTGGCGGCAGTGAATTTTCGACTCCCATTCGTGGGGGATCTGAATTATGCCAATTTGTGAGTCTGGAACTCTGAATTGAGTTTTGCGCCGTGTTCGACGGTCGCCTAAAGTACAACCTTGCAATTATACCGATCCTGTTTTCTCCCCTCATGATTTCGCGCTTTACAAAAGACCTGGCCTGCTGTTACATAGAGACGCATGTCATTCGTGTGCGGAAGATTAAATCCCCTGCAGCTGCATTGAAAAATGCTCACGTTAAGCAATTGTGCGTTCGCTGGGGCTTGTCACAAACGGTTGTGATAGAGCTGCATATGCTCCGCTTTACTTTGAGAACGGGGGCCAGACGTTACTGAAGTTGGTATGGCTTGACCCGGACGGCGAAGAGAGTTCAACGTGGCGTTGTTGACGGTTGCTATCCCACGTCCTCCCGGCTGATGAGGCTGCGGAAATGGTCGATGTCATGTTCAAACGCCTCTGCCATTTTCTCCCAAATATCAGGAGTGCGGGTGGCGTTTAGTCGTTGCAGAAAGATCGATGGTGGCAGTGGCTAGGAGACGGGCCGGACACTAGCACCAAGACAAATTGCTCTTCGGCCGTGGTTGTTGACTATTAACCGACAGTTTGGTCCATTTCGCAGCGGGTCTTGTGGCGTTGTGCCCAATATCTTCAAAGTCAAATGGCTCGTTGCAGCCTTAGAAGCTTGGTGTCATTGAGTCACGAACCGTCGTTTCTCAAGGAGACATCGCGTTCGTCCCACCAGGCAGCGCCGCAGATCATGCGTGTTGGTTCGTGGTCATGGGTATGGAAAGCCACTACGCACAGTATATTGTAGCGAGCAGCGAGACCGGGGAAGACATCCGGATGAAGATAATGCGTGATAACTCGAAGCTGCGTGTTTGCTCTACGAACACGCCGCACATGGAGTTGAGAGGATTTTCTCCACTCTCCGCGATGTTTGCTGTCGTTAGAGGTGCTCGCGCCATTTGCAGAATGCTTGTTCCCTGTGCCTGGTTTTTGGAGAAGCAGAACCCTGAATTGAGTTGGGACTTGAGAGTTGGGCGCGCCGGGAGAGCATTCCAAAACATCCGAGCTGACACCATGCCGACCGAATTGGCCGGCTGGCCTATTAGCGCAAGCCTTTCGTAGAATCGCACAAGATATTGCTTTTTCGGAACCTTGCTCGTCTGTTGGTGCTATGAGGATCAGAGGATTGGTGTCTCCTTGGCGAACGGCAGCGGCGGAACAAGAACATCGCGGGATCGGACGAAGGTCCGATGCTGACGAGAAGGCGGCCATCAACTAGAGACCGGGGACCTTGACGGTTCGTGAGGGGAAAGCCTTGGTTGCTATCCGGATATCCTTCATGATAAGAGCCCCTCTAGGTCTTTAGGTTATAGACGCCGATTCCGAACCTGTTTAGTGCATAGAATTTGAGCGGGATCGTACCTGAGATTGTTGGGAGGGGGCGCGAACCGATGCGTCGGCGCCGGAGGCTTACAAGCCTGCCGAGTGGTGTACTTGCAGGGCTGTAGAGGCTGGGAATGCAATCTGGTTTGCACGGCCATGGTCTCCTTGTTGGGAAAGGGGGTCATCAAAGCCTGGAGGCACGTCGTGAGTGACCCAGAAATGAATTCGGATATCGAGCCGCATTCCGCACTTTTGGGACGCCTGGGAGCTGTGCATGGCACCAAAATTTCTGCGACTGACTCTCAGAGCTTACTGTGTGGCTTGTGGATTACAAGATGAGAAGTCGAGGCCAATGGATGCGCAGATGTATGACCACTACTCTGTAGCTGCAACGGATAAGCTAGAAGATGAAGGCCGGCAACCTCATCGAGAATGAAGGGGGGGGGGGTTCTTCAGTCTTGCGAACAGACAATGGAATCCGCATCCCGCGGTGATATCGGGAGGCTTGTACTATGTCGGAGGAGCCACCACGAAAGGGGTCAATGACCGAAGTCGAGACGTCTCTGCTCGCGGGGTGAGAGGGTAACATCCGTCTTGATGGTTATTCATAGTGAAAAAGCGAGTAAGGACGTTTCCCTGGTATTGCGAAGCCTTGGGCTGCAGAGCGGGCCAGCGGCACAGCATGCAGCGTGCAAATGTGACTACAGATTGTAAAGCGGGCCCAGGTTCAACGTCCAACAGCTTCCACCGTGATTCCTTACCTGTGACTGTGCCTTTGACTTGCATCTAATGCTTGCCACATAACGATTCCTCTCTCGTCATGGTGTAGACTGTCTGATAGACCTCGTGTATAGAATTACCTCGTTGTAGGCTCGCAGCTCCTTCCTACTTGATCGGTCTGCCCGTGACAGTCGTGGCACGTTGAACGGAACGTGGCAAACGTTACCGGTAGTCTGAGATGTGTGAGGTTGATGGAGTTCTGATACGGGGTCTTGAACCAAGTCTCGGCGCCTTCGGGTCAGGAGAAGCAAACAAAAAAGAACCCAGTGTGCTTTAGTTCAGACAGCGATCGAATCGATTGGCTTGTTCAATCTTGCCGTAGCATCGATACGCATACAATGAAAGCTCTGACCTCTCTCTGCAAGGTACGGGTTACGGGAACCGGCAGTTCGAGGAGTTGAGGGAGCCGAAGGTTATTGATTGGGGGCCCTTGGTCAGTGATGGATGTTCAACTTTCAAGATGCTGCGGTCGGGCACAGCAGGGGCCTCTTGTGCACAGTCCTTTCGAAGGATTGACAGTCGGCACATCTTGTGGGCTACAGCCTCCGCCAGAGATTGACAGGCCCGAGGGTCCTGCTGTCAAGCGATTCAGTCTAGGGCCCCTGACGTTGCGATTCTTGGGACGAACGACCGGGAGTAAATGAGGTAGCGGGGAATGACAACATTGTCAATGTATCGAGAAAAGAAAGGAGACGATGCGACCTCGAGATATTTTGACACGAGAGGCCGCCTCGTGTGCTATTATTTCACGGCGAATCAAGAACGTAAACGGTGTTGCGCAGGCAGGGCGAGACACGTGTGAGTCGCCGTAGCTGAAACTGTAAGCCGTTAGGCCGTCGAAGAGGTTCCTCAGCTTATGCAAGGTTGCACATGTCGAGTGCAAGTGGGAAGTCAAGAGTCTTGAGAGGCTGAGGGGGAAATTTGGCTGACCTCGAGCTGGTTTACTCGAGACTTGCACAACGCCAGTCAGTGTTGCGCCGGGATCAACAAGAGGCGCTGCGGAGGCAGTGACAGCCGGGGGAGAGGGCAAAGGTCTGACATGAGAAGAAGCCGCAAGCCGGAAAAGAGATGACGGGAGGAGAAGCAACGATACGATAACGGCGAGTGACGGCGGGTGATGAGAAGTGCGATCTGCGCAGGCAGGAAATTGCGGGCTTCATGTTGGAGAGGTTCCCATTCGACCGTGATGTTAGAGCTGGTAAGGATTCAAGGTGAGGAACCCTTGGGGAGAGACGGGTTGGTGGGAGAGGAAAACCAAGAGTTCAAGAGTACGTACCTTGTGTGTTCTCCTGGGACTGGGAGCGACCCCTGGAAGGAGCTCCCATGTCTAGCGTTCTTTCCTGCCCAAATGGCTTACTGCAAAAGTTGTCCCCACTCGTGCCTCCCCAAAGGGCGTTAGCGGGGATTCCGGTAGGTCCCAACTGAGGAAAGTGAAGGAATCCCCGGTTGTGCCTTCCCGGATGTCTTTGAATCCTTCCTGTTGGAGCGCAGGAGAGAGCCAGGCTTGCCAGGGCCCCAAGTTCCAAACTTCCAACCGATGGAGCAGCTTTTGAGATTGAGAAGCGCACAAAAAAGGCCATCCCGGCCTGGCCTGATGGATTGCCTGCCTCGAGATCGCGACCACCGATTCGCAATCTAGGTTCATCCCCTCTGGCGTCGTTTCATCCGGGTGATTTGTTTCTCATCACTCACGTATCTCTGGTTTGTTACCTAGCTTGCGTTGCGGATCGTGGAAACCTCCGTCGAGTTCGCGATGGGTTCCTGGCCTCTCACTGTAAATAGTGGAGAGCCGAACTTACCACAGTACGGAGCACTTCGTAGACGGGAGTAGGTCCATAAGAGCCACCTTACTCGAGAAGGTGATAGGGGTACGTATTTTTCCTTCATCTGCCTCTTTTCGCTTTGCAGCGTGCAATTGGCAAATGAGACGAGGCAGAGCATGATCAAGTGCTGATTTTCTCGGTCGACATGATAAGAAAAAGAAAGCAAGACAATAAACATCCATCCCACGTGTCGGGAAGTGTCGAGTAACGGTCGCCGGTTCCTCTTCCCGTAGTCCGGACCTTGTACGGAGTACTCTATGTGACTACTGCTTCATTGCTGCCCAGCGAGCGCAAATCTCTCCAAGTACAGCGTGGCTTCCCACCAATTGACCCAATCGGCAAGAGTGGCCCAATCATGGACGGTGTCGATGATGTTTGTCGAGGACCCTTTCCACGCTGGTTTCTTCTTATACCCAATGATCATCTTTACATGACTCTGGCCGGTACACAGTACTCAGTCCCGAGTGCTCTAGCGCGTGTACATGAGCACAAAAAGGCAGTGAGTGCGAAGTGTTCGGTACCTTGCGTGTTTGCCTCAAGAATTCTCCGTCTTCTGTAGCGGGCAGACGCAAGTGGTGGGCAGCTAGTGCCGTCCAACGCCGTTGCGAGTTTTTCTCTCGCTGCAATCTCCTTTCTTCTGCCAACTCCTTTCTTTGGGTTCGGGACCGGTGGCTTGCTGAATCGCAAGACCAAAGAAAATATCGAACTCTCGTGGTGTTTTCGACGAGAGCCAAGTCCGGCCGCATGGATGAACCGAGAGGGGAAGATATTGAGGTTGATTGAACAATAATGACAAGTAACGCAGAGAGGAGACCCGAGAGGGGGCCAACGGGGCGAGAACAAGCCGGATTCCGACTCATCATCTCATTTGAAATCCATAATCAAGGACGCGGCTGCAAGTGCCATCTGTTTTGGACGAGAGATGTAACGGCGCCATCAACCGCGGTCCGCAAGCGACAATGCGCAGTAAGAGGACTCTGAGCATTACTTCAATGCACTTCTGTATTCCAGTACTACCTAGGTACAGACAACAAAAGAAGCATGTCGCGCGCGTGTTCCGTGGGCGTTTTGTTCCTGACTTTTCCCCAAACAAAAACTCGGAACTTGGAAGGAGCAAAATGAAAATGGCCTCTCAACTTAAGGTACTTTACTACGTAAGGTACGGATACATCGTACAGATACTTTGGTCTCAGAGTCTCGTGGCTGGACCGTTGGCCGCGTCGTGCGTGCCTGGCTAATTTACGCCCATGTCATCCGGCGTCGCCTGGCCCTGGTGCTTCGTCTCCTCCCATCTGGATTGATTTGATTACTGGGTTCGCTTCCCAATCATAGCCATGATCGCTACCTACGGATCCCCTCGTGGACGTTGACCAATACGTATCCCATCCCACCCCAATCTAGCTAATCTCATTCAACTGACCAGGGACCCGGCCTTTTCCACCTCAATTCATGATCATGATCCCATCACAGCACTGCATCCCGCAGCTTCCTGCCCGTGGCTTACAACAAGCACACCAAGCAACACGCTAATAATACACTTCACAAGTTCACATCACAGCATTCGTACACGTACGTATACACTCATCCATCTGCCCTGCACATGCATCTAGCACGTTGGCCATCTCCTGCACGACAATGATTAGCCTCTGATGGCTCGTCTCGTCGCATTCGCCAAGTCGAATCCTACCTCCGCAATACACACGGCAAGCCGCCATGGACCACCATCTTTTCTCTCTCTGTCCCCAATGCTCCATCGACCATCCAGACTGTCCCTCGCGGCTTCCCGCTGCTGCATCCGCTGCACTACCACTGTGATGGTCTCGATGCCCACTTTGATGCTTCTCCTCCTCGTCTCTCCGTAGTGTACGGATACCTCCCACCCCCGGCTTCTACCCTACCTACCTTAGTGCTGTTCTTCCCATGCTCCTAACCCTTGCCCGTCCCATTTATTTCCATCCCATCTCAGCCTGTCCCGTGCTCGAGTTGACAGAATAGTCTGGCGCCTCGCACCCGGCTTCTTCACTCTGTTTCTTTTGCCTTGCGCCTTGCCTTGCCTTGCCTTGTCTCTCCTCTCTCGACTCGCCTCGCCTTCTCACGGCTTTCTTCTCTCCTTCTCCTCCAGCCCGATCTTCAGGTGCCGCCATTGTCACGCCCATTGGCCTCGGATGCAGCAGCCATTCTGTTCTGTCACCCCGTCCTGCTGGAATTAACGTCCTACCACCTGCGCAACCGATCCTCGCGCCCATCCATTTCGACTTGCCACTTAGCTGTAGGCAGTTGTACATTTATCCTTACACCCGTCCACCGTCCTTAAACTTGCCTCGTTCCTTTTGTCACTGTCACTCTGTCTCGAACCAACCGGTCCGCCGTCGCTTTTCTACCCTCGACTTGTCTCCAAAACCTCCCGACAGACTATCGACTGTCCAATACACCTTCCGTCGGGTAAGCCTCCTATATGTCTCAGTCCGTTTGTTGGTGCGGCCGATCGCAGCGGGAGAAGCAGCCTTAGAAGGAAAAGAAGGAGGGAGGTCCGGGACATGATGCTGACCACAAAATCTCCCCCACCAGAACCGCGAAACAAGCCTTCACGCTTTTCTCATCCGCGCCTCTGCACGACCAACGTTCCTTCTCCCAACGTCTCGCCTGTTTACATCATATAATTAGTACATTGCTCGAGCCTTGTACATACGCCAATCCTTACTGCTCCTTTTTTCAACTCTTTCGCCTCGGTTCCTATCATTGCCGCTCATCCTTACGGAGTCGCATTCCATTTCGGCCTTTCACCAAAGTCAATTTACAACGTCATGTCGACTTAGAACGGCTCTTGATCTCATTGCGACTTTGAGCTTGCCATCTGTTCTTGCGACTGCCGCGCCTTACTCAATCTCTCCTTTTCTCTTTGCGACATTGATTCCTGGCTTCGAAAGCCAGTCAGTTTCATACCTGGATTTACTACCTATATATCTCCGTTCTTAAGGTGGGAGCCCATCCAAAACCGTTCCCGAACATCCCTCCCCGGCTCATATACACCAATTATACCACCTCGGCCCCGGAGAACTTCATGCTAACTCGTGTCTGGGCTGTCCAGAAACGGCCACTCGAGCGAACCACTCCTTTTTATCGCTCTGTTTATTTTCTTCTTTTTACTTGTTTGGGTTGTTGCCCATAGCATATCACCTCACTTATTTGACATCACCTTGCTGCGCCCGCGACGCAGCAGCAGTAGCAACAGCAGCAACACCGTATCGTAGGTTTCACCAAGAACATTTCATGCATATTCCTTGCCGTAGGCCTCGGCCTCGCGCTCCTCCAATGTGCCTCTCCCGTAGCATCGAGCACTAACCAAGAGTCAGTGGGGGTTGAATAGCGTCAATGCACCAGTGATTGCGCGGTCAGACTGCTCCTCTGGCGCCTGTCATTTCCACCGGAAGCAAGGATCCCTGGGCTCAGCTGTGTGCTTTGATCCCCTACATTTGATTTTCCCCGAAACGGCTGGCGATCCAAGCACATTTGCTCGCTGTAAGCCAACCGACCATAACCTGCATGCTTACACTTCTTTTTTTGAGGGGTTCAATTGAGAACCGTTGCGCCCTTGACACCTCACTGCGAGTCTTTCTTCGTCTCCAGTGAGTCAAGATGGCTGTTTGGGAGACCGAGGATGAGTCCAAAGGCAACGCTGCCGTGACGGCGTTGCCAACACCACAGGACACGCCTTACAGAACACCATCACGAAGCTCGAGGAAATCCCGACGCTCCGTCACCCCGCCAAACGGGAAGAAGAGCCCTTCGCCTCCTCCCGTCCCACAGAATGACAAGGGCTCTAAGCGTTCATCCAGAAATATGACCAACGACGATGGCATCAGCGTTCTCGACCCACGTCGTTTCACTCCAACCTTACACGCCAATCTCGTAGCCGAGATCCTGAACTTGAGGCGAGATCAGGAAGAAAAGGCGAAACTTATCGAAAACCTAGAATTATCATTGCATGCCTCTCGCCAGGAGCAGGAGACACTTCAAGAGACAGTAGCCACCACAACAAAACAAAGCCGATCCCTTCAGCGTCAACTAGCCCTTCTAGAAGGTGGTACCTCATCAGCACTGGGCGAGCTCGCCCGCGAGAGGGACGAAGCCGTCGACTCAATTACAGAAACGAGAAAGAGACTCGAGTCCGCCCAGAAGAAGATTCGAAGTCAGGAAGAAGACTCTCAGAGGGTTCACGACCTTTGGGCTCAGGACAAGGACTCTTGGGAGGAAGAGAAGCGCAAGTATGAGCGTAGAGTCCACGTCGCCGAGAGCCGCTTGAAGGTGGTGATAGACGAGGTCGCCGCCTACCAGGCTGCACAAATGAACGGCAACGGCAATGACAGCGAGACAGAGGATCAAAACGACGCGGGAAGTGTGAGGACTATGAGCCTGACTAACAGTGTCCGATTTTCCATGCAACAGAGCCCCGGCAAGGTCTTCAATGGAAACTCGCTGGCGGACGAGCTCAACCTCGATGGCGACGACGACTGGCAGACTGACGACGGCGGACGCGAGAGCGCCATGTCCAACTATCGCCACACACGAACATTCAGCCGCGACAGCATTCTGTCCAAGATTCACCGACGACAACAAAGCATGGAGAGCCCCCAACGTCCTGGAAGCGTTACTAGAGGTAGACTTTGGATGAACCAGCCCGTCCTGGAGGCCCTGGAAGACGGGATCCAAGAGAACGATGAGGATCTGATGCCGCCTCCGCCGCCGCCGGCTCCCAAGGTCAGCTACACCGACACCGGAATTCAATTCTCGCCTCCTCCATCACCAAAGATGGAGCCTGCCAAGCCTTGCACACCGGAACCGCCTGCCAAGATCGAAAAGCTCACCGAAGTCGAGGCCTCTCCAAGAGGCGAGTGGGAGGTTGAGGCTAATCAAAGACGAAAGCGAGTTCATGTCAACCGACCACTGTCGATCGAGCCGCGTCCTTTCAACCACATGGTCTCTGCTGGTTCTCAGACTGTTGAGGAGCCTTTGAGCCCCCCGAAGACGCCAAAGTCTCCCTACAGATCTTCCACCCCGCCTCCTCCGGAAACTCCGCCCACGGTGATGGTTTCGTCCTCGACTCAGACCGACAAGCCGGTGGAGAGGCCTCAGACACCTCCTGTCTTGCGGCCAGTGCAAGAGTTGACCATCCCATCCATCAGTATCATCCCGCCAACGAGTCGTCCGACTACACCACGCGAGCACCGGCTTCCACAGTACGTCAAAGACTTTGGTTGCCAAGTATCCATCATCTCCTCAGCTCCCACAAAATCTACTGCTGTTCAGACCGAAGAGATTCTTTCTGACAAGAGGCTGGCGACGCTACCTGTCCACCTGCGCCCCTCAGCTATCACGTCCAGGCCCTCATCGCCCAGCATCGGGATCGCTACGGCCGTGACGAGTGATGATCCTCGCCACTTTACTCCGGTGCCGGGACATCTACCACCACGAAATCCTCGGAGACTCGCTACAAAGCGCAGCCTGTCGGACATGCCTTCGTCACCGCCGGTATCGCCAGTCTTTGGCGAGCAAACCCGCGACGCATACCCTGGTAACAATGATGACGGGCCACTTTCGAGAGAAGGCGCGCCTATGAGACGACCGCATCGCATCAGCAGTCTGTTCGCCGGCTTCCAAGATGCCCAAAGCTCCGATGAGGTGGACGAGTTTGATGCTGATATGAGCGACTCTGAGTACCGAACCGCCCTTTCCGCCCCTGGCATGAGAATGACGGATTCCCGAGCCTCCAACCGCACATCTGTCAGTACCTTTACATCACCGGAACAAACGAAGAGGTCAGCCCCTAGCAGGAACTCCATGCGCCTCGCAAACGATAGTTATGGAGGAAATCTGGAAAGCAGAGAAGCACCCAAGAGGCAGTCTGCCAAGCCCACTACCCGCGGGTATGAGAAGTCTACCGCGGGACCTTCGGGCAAGAACGTCATGCGGAAGGCTGCTATGATCCAGAGCGGAATTGCCAGCCACCAAGGCCGTCCTAGAAGCCCGAGCGTTCCAGAGTCTCGTGCTCCCGACCCTCCTTTCCCCATCCCTACCAGAGCTAGCTCTCGGCGACCGCCATTCAGTGCCAGCGCTCCGAGCGATGGCCAACGAAGCCCAACCAAGATGGACGCACCGTGGCATCGCCGAGGCATGGGCCGTAATCACTACCGTGCCGGCAGCATCCATCGTGCCAACAGTATACGTAAGGTGCGATCAGCTGCGGCCCTTCCTCGTAACCAGAGAAATCGGAAGCAAAGTAGGTCCCCGCCGCCCTTCTCGGAGACGACCGATGCGCCGGAGAGCCCCAGCTTGCCTCCTCTTCCGTACAACGACATCACCAGCCCTCGGTACGACACCAGCTCCAACTACCGGTCCCACAAGTCCAGGCTGTCGACAACAACGGCACAGACGGCTACCACCGATGTCAACTCCGTTGGTGGTGCATCCAACGGCGCCTCGCAAGCCACGGGTGTTGTTGATGCCATTGCGCAGACCATGGTTGGTGAATGGATGTTCAAGTACGTCAGGAGACGCAAGTCATTTGGTGTGCCCGACAACAGCAAGGACGACTCGAGCAACGACCGCCACAAGCGATGGGTTTGGCTGGCTCCCTATGAGAGAGCTATCCTCTGGAGCAGCAAGCAACCTTCATCTGGCAGTGCCCTCATGGGTAAGACTGGTCGGAAACGTGAGTCCTACATCTTGACTTAGCACTGAAAGCCTTGACTAACGTGAAGCAGTAACCATTCAGTCTGTACTCGACGTCAAGGATGATAACCCCGCCCCGAAGAACCAGGGTGCAGTTTTCAACCGATCGATTCTCATATTGACTCCGCAAAGAGCGTTGAAGTTTACGGCTACGTCTTCGGAGAGGCACTACGTGTGGCTGACGGCACTTTCATTCCTGGCTCACTCGACCCAAGCAATTCCTGAAATCGTCGCTGCTCCCCAACCTGCGAAACCAACCACGGTACCGGACTTTGAACCACCGCAACCTACCAGGCGACCTGGCATTCGTGATTCCATTCGACTGACAAAGAGCAAGGCACCCTCGGTGAAGAATCCCGGACCGCGAAGTATTCCAAGTGTGCCCAGCATTCCTAGCATCCCCTCTTCCAGGACAGGCGACGTCTCGGGCTACAAACACACAGAGGCATTCCCGCCCATGCCAACAAATATCAACAGCAGCAGCAACACCAATAATAACAACCATCAACGTGAGCGTTCTGGAGACGCAGCGGAACCACCATTTATCCCTAGGTTCACGGAGCGTTCGAATCAGAATGCGGTTCACGGACGGAAGCGAAGCAATACCGGAGGCCACGTCCCGCCCCCGCTGTCCTTCCGTGGATTTTCCGGACCAGGCAGCGTTGGACAGCACAGCTACACCAACAGCAACGCTGGCAACAGCGTTGGCACAGCCGGCTCCTCCGATATCTACCAGTCCCAGCCATCTCAAGGCTCAAGCAGGCAGAGTTGGGGCATGAGTACAGCCGGCTCTCAGCGGACGTCGGAAGCCTCTTCAAGACCCCCAGGTGCCAACTTCTTTGATGCTATTGGTACCGTGCGCATGGAGGCCTTCATCAGTCCATTAGCCCACTCAGGCTTTGACAGAGACCCTGATGAGTACGAGGAATACGGATACCGGGCTCGTAGGCGCAGCAAGGAGCTTCGAAGACGGCAGAGTCGTAGCCGTCACCGTGACAGCTATAGCTCTCGCGGGACGCGCGGCACAGACGGCTACCATGGCAGCAGCCGAGCGACCGTGGAAGATGACTACTTCCGAGATGACCCTTTCAAAGGCTTCTAAGTGAGAAGCCGTCAAATCCTTTACATTGTCCCTTGTCGCGAAAGGTTTGGATTAGCTGGAGCGCGCGGGATTGCATTCATTCGATACGATACCCAATGTGTACTATTTCTCATGTGTAATCAAGATGTGGTGAAACAGAACTAGACCCCTGTGCCACCTTGTGGACGAAGTTGGTAGGATAAAAAGGCGATGACTGCCGTCGGTGGGCCAAGGAGATGTCATCATGCCTGGTTTGGCCAGAGGACCGCAGGCTCTGATGGTCTCAGATGCTGTTGGGGGTGTACGATGTAGGTTAGGTAGTCAACAATGTGGTGTTGATATTACCTTTGGTAGTGTAGATAGGTCCTTCGGGACAGATGGATAGTCAATCAAAAACTGTAAAATTTAACCTTCAATCCTGATGGCGAAGCAAGCTTGATTATGATGCTGTGAAATCCTTACGGGTGAGAAAGTCTGCTTCTTGGCGGCCGTTCGTCGAGCCAGTGGTGCTCGGGGCGAAGTCGAATTACGGGCCGCTCTCCGGGGGCACGCACCGACCCCGCACCGCAAGCATCGAACTTCAACCCCCACCAAGAAATTTCGCCCCTCCATTGCATTCCAAGCTCGGAGCTTCCAGTGACAACGCAATTTGAAGCTCACATTTTTACCCTTTCGACACGGCCAACTCGTTTCACGCGTGATTGACACAAGACCTCATTGCCAGCGGAACACCGGATTGAAGCGCCGATTTTCTTCTGTGAATCACCTCGGACAGGATTAAATCGCAAATATCCCCCGCCTCTGGCAAACGTCACATAGCGATTCCTGTGTCGACGGACATACCCCGCGAGACCTCCCTCACATAACCTTCTTATACGAACCTGCTCCGACCGAACCGAACCGAAACCGAACCACTACCTCGAGGGAATCGGGTGCTTCACGAGGAACAGAGACGAAAAAGCCATGGAATCCGAAACGCTGGAGCAGATGCAGTCGCGGCACCGCAAGGAGCAGCGCGACCTTGTGGGCCGGATCACGAGCAAGAAGAAGAACGCTACCAAGAAGACGCGCAAGGGCGTGAATGATGAGTGTGCCGAGCTGGAGAGGCAGTTGAAGGCGAAGCATGAGGAGGAGGTGGCTGGGTTGTCTGGCGGTGGTGTTGCCGAGGAGGTCCAAGACAACGACGACGAGGCTACGAGAGACGAGACGGCCGAGGTTGCGGAGAAGTTGAGGGATACTACCATTTCCGAATCCGAAACGCCGGTAGGAGAAGAGAAGGAACAGACACAGACGCACGCACAAGGCCAAGGCCAAGGGAAGAAGCGCAACAGACAAAAGGAGCGCCTGGCGCGGCGGGCGGCCGAGGTCGAGGCCGCGGCGGAGAAGGCGCAGGAGGAGGCGAGCGGCATGACGGACCACCGTGGCATCGAGAAGACGTACATGCTCAAGGAGTTCAAAGCCAACGGGCTCGAGGAGAAGGAGATTGCGCCGGACGGGCACTGCTTGTTTTCTGCTGTGGCGGATCAGTTACGGCAGCTGGGGATTCCACTTGCTAGTGCTGAAGAAGCGAGTAGTGGTGGTGGGGACTCGACGCAGAAGCTCCCGTATAAGGTTGTGAGGAGGGCGGCGGCGGAGTATATGGTGTCTCACCCGGACGACTTTGCGCCGTTTTTGGAGGAGGGGTTGGAGGGGTACGTGAGGCGGATCCGGGATACGGCGGAGTGGGGTGGGCAGCTTGAGCTTGCGGCGCTGGCGAGCGTGTATGGGGTTGAGATTCGGGTTGTGCAGGATGGGAGGACGGAGAGGATTGGGCCGGCGGCGGGTGGTGATGGGGAGGAGGAGAAGAAGGAGATTTGGTTGGCGTATTATCGGCATGGGTATGGGCTTGGTGAGCATTATAATTCTTTGCGAAAGCTTACGGCGTGAGGGGTGTGTAGTTCGATGAGAGGGTGGAGTGTATGGAGAAGATTATATTCCCAACTTTATGTACATGGAGTTGGGGGCATTGCATGGCACAAGCATACATCATTGACCGAACAGAGAAGACATCTAGAGCGGGAACTATGTTGCGTCGTACTTCTTAGTGACTCCAGACATGAACCCAATCGCGAACCGAACCGTCCTCATTCATACCAGCGCGATGCGTCCTAGCAGGCTTGACGAGCGCCAACCGCTTCAGACCGGTGCCTTCACCACCGTCCTCGCTCGGGGCCGGGGGGACGACAACGACATCGGCCTCATCGCCCGCCAGCGTCGAAGAGGAGAAGTCGAGCGGTTGGCCGGGGCGGGTGAGCAGCGCGAGATAGATACTCGGGTTCAGACCCCACGGCGGCCCCGGCTGGGAAAGAGGTTTGCCGGACGGGAATTCGAGGCAGATGAGGCGGCCGGTGGCGGGGTTCAGGAGGGAGGACATGCGGGCTGACCATTGGGGGCGGGCTGTTGGGGGGAGGGCGCATAGGAACTTTGTGGATAGTTTGTCAATCTTTCTGTTCGTTTTCCTTGTTGCCTCTGGTCCTTTTCTTTTGAAAGGCCCTTTTGAACGTGGTGAGAGACTTACAGTGTAGTCAAAGATGAGGTCAAACGTCTTGCCCTCGCGAGGCCAGGTCTCGAGCCACGAGTCGGAGAAGAAGTCGCCAGAGAGCCACGTCACGGAACCCGGCTCGGCGCCGTTTGGTTGGCGAATGGCGTTTACGTCCGGCTCTGCTCCGTCTCCGTTTTGTTTCCGGTTTCCATTACCGGCCGCCGCCACCGCCGCAGCAAGTACAGCCTTTTGATTCTCCTTCGCCTCGGCGATGGCGGTGGGCGAAAAGTCCAGGCCGAGGACGTCGTAGCCTAGGTTTGCTAGGAGGAGGGCGTCGTGGCCTTTACCACACCCGGGAACGAGGGCCGTTGGCTTCTTCTGCTGTTGTCTTGCATGTGATGGGGCAGGAGGAGGAGGAGGAGGAGGAGGCGGGATGAGGTCTGGACGGGTGGTGATGATGTCCAGTAAGGCTAGGGAGGGCCCGCCGCGGTCCCAGGGGGTGAATCTCTCTTCCCAGAAGGCGGACCATTTCTGGCCATGGTTTGCGAGGGGTGTGTTTGCGAAAGCTGTGGATAGCTTGTTTGGGTCGGTTGCCATGATGGGCTGGTTTCCTATACTCGGAGTTGTGAATGGAGTGTGGTGTGAGACTTGATATTGGGGCTGGGCGGTGCTCTGATAAAGTATCTGATGAGCTGTCTTGACAGAATTGTGAGATTCAAGCGGGTTTCTGAGAATAATACAAACAACATTTATTAAGTGGTTGGTAATCCAGTAGTATGAAACAGAAAGAAAGTCGCCAGATGAGAATGGAGTCATGAATCTGAGGAGACCGGAGCTAGCGAGATCGATCTAGTCCCCGAGGACCCCGCGCTGTATTGTGCATGGGGCGCAAATGCCCCGCGCTGGAGAACGGCGACGTTAATCCCTGTCGCTGCCAGGGACGCATCCCGAATGTTTGGGATAATACCTCACCTAACCCAAGCTTACTTACCAAGCCATTTTCATCCGCATGACTCCCAACTGCAAGGAAACGGACGTGCTTTCTCGTGTTTCTGCTCTCAGATGTATGCTCTGCCTTTTCAGCATGAGGATGCAACTTAAAAAAGTGCCGCCATTGTGAGAGGTGGGTGTGTTACACAGCTTTGCTACGTTTGAGGATGGCGACTCATCGCGGGTTAAAGGCTAGCTGTTTACGTTGTTGAATGTGAAGGAAAGCGTAGCACGCGGTATTTCGACCTTGGGGAAAGTCTCGGTGAGAAGCTGAGGAGGACGCATCATCTGAGTCAACGCCGAGTGTAGACACAGTCAGTCAGCCATTCTACCTTGAACGAACATCTAACACTCGATAGAATATTCCTGATGGTTCCAGGGCCCACAAGTGATTATGGTCGACCATGAACTTAGTGTGTTGGTGTACGGCTCTAATATTACCCGCGGGAAAAGTAGACGTGTGTGGTCATTTCACTGATAATCTCAGGTGTGGCCCGGGGAGCCTTTTCGGAGACAACCGCCGAATCCCACGACTCAAGCGGGGTCGCACCCCGTCCGGAGGGCGTCAGGTAACCGCCCACCACAACCAAAGTCCTGATCCCGGCGTCGGAAGTCCCATTGATTTTGTCGCCCACGCCCTCGCGACACGTCTCATCCCAATTTCAATCTCAATCCCAATCTCGATCTCAAATATCTTACTTGAGCAGACACCCGTCAAAGCCTTAGTGTCCTACCCAGCTGTCTCACTTTCGATCAACTGGGCTTTCGGAAATTCTCCCGTCAGACACATTAGGACCTACACACACTCATAGCAAGGCCGAGCCGTTCATCGTGAGCAGAATAGAGGACGAGAGCCATGGCCGACCTATCGACCTGCCTTCCCCTAACCCGGGCTTCCGTCGTCGAAGCCCACAAGCTCGTCAAGCCGCACGTCCACTACACCCCCGTCCTCACCAACAAGACGCTCACGGCGTTGGCTTCGACGCCGCGGACACCCGAGGACCTCAAGGGCACGAAATGGGAAGGGCGCACGCCGGCCAAGCCCGTGCTCCGGCTGTGGTTCAAGTGCGAGAATCTGCAGCGCATCGGCGCCTTCAAGGTCCGCGGTGCGTTCCACGCCGTGGAGAGGTTGAAGCAGGAGCCTGGGTGGGCCGAGGGCGGCGGTAAAGAGAAGGGTGTTGTTACGCATAGCTCAGGTATGATAATACCACTCTGGTTTCCCTCTCAGTGAACGAACGAACGAAGAGAACTATCTGAGTGCGTACTTTTTTGATTTCAGCAGAATCTACTAACAACACCATCAGGAAATCACGCTCAAGCCCTGGCTCTCGCCGCCAGAGAAAGCGGCATCCCAGCACACATCGTCATGCCGGACATCTCCCCGCCCAACAAGATCGCCGCGACGCGCGGCTACGGCGCCAACGTCGTCTTCAGCGGCAGCACCAGCGTCGAGCGCGAGGCCGTCGCCGACCGCATCATCTCCGAGACGGGCGCCCGCCTCGTACCGCCCTACGACCACCCGGACATCATGCTAGGCCAAGGCACGATGGGCCTCGAGCTGCAGGAGCAGGTGCGCGATCTCCTGGCCGCGGGCCACTCTGCCGAGAACCCGACGTTCAACTCTACTGGCCTTCCTGTGGCTGCTGTGTCCGATGGTGACGGGGAAGAGAAGAAGAAGACGCCGGGTCTGGACGCGATCATGACGCCCTGCGGAGGGGGCGGCATGCTCTCCGGCGTAGCGCTCAGCTGCGAGGGGACGGGGATCCGGGTATTCGGCGCGGAACCCGAGTTCCAGGGCGCCGACGACTGCAAGCGCGGCTTCGAGACAGGGAAGCGTGTCGAGAGCGTAAAGACGCTGACGGTCGCCGACGGCCTGCGGACGCCCGTGGGCAAGCACCCGTGGTCCGTCATTTACGAGCGCCGGCTGGTGGAGAATATGTACAGCGTGTCCGAGGAGGAGATCAAGGCGGCGACGAAGCTCGTGTTTGAGCGGTTCAAGCTCGTGGTCGAGCCGAGCGGTGCGGTGCCGCTTGCCGTGGCGCTGTTTAACGAGGATTTCAGGGCTATGGTGGAAAAGGAGGCTGGCGAGGAGGGTTGGGACTTGGGGTTGGTTTTTAGTGGTGGCAATATGGCGTTGGAGGGGCTCATGAAGATTTTTGCGGCGTGATTTACCTGGAGGTTGTTTGAGTAGAGGTTGATGGATAGAGTTGTGTTCAGGATGAGCTTCTGGGGATGATTCCTAAGTTCTCATTCTTGGGTTTTCAACTAAGGGATGGGGCTTTGGAACCTGGTTCATCAGGCAAGACTTCTTATGGCAAATAAACATATGACAGCACGTTTGTCTATGATGTTTCTTTATTCATTCGAAAAAGGACACTCTTGTGTCCCTCCTGTCTACCCGATCGATCTCAAGCTGGCATTCACTGAGCTTGTTCCTTGCGTAATTCCAAAGCCCTGTTATTCTCTTCTTTATGGCACGGATCGCATAAATAGGGAACCAACCGACCGTTCATACTCAATTTTCATCACAATGGAACACGGTCTTGGGCTGGAGGACTCAGTGCACAAGTCTGTTTCTAGTATTGGCCATATCCCTATAAACGTACAAAAAGTCATATCAACTTGCAACCTAAGTGCAAAATCAATTAAGGTCGCTTTACTATTACGCACCGGTTCTCCGTTACGTAGTACACGACGAATACAGCCCTCAAAGCAAGAGAGTGAGTACTTTCCTCTCTACCCGTTCGCTCTCTTATATATACATAGAAAATACGGCCAGCGAACTATAAAAGTACCTGGAGTTATTGCCCGTTCGTTCTCTCTTACGTAGTATACAGCGAATACAACTGGCGAATTGGAAAAGCAAATCAGGAACGGGATAGTTTTATTTCGAGATTAGTTGTCAAAGCTTAGGCATTTATAAAGTTACTCTCACTCTCCAAGACCGGAGCCCCCAATACAACTTGCTGCATGACCCGATTCCTGCTTAACCCCACTGTGAGCGTTTGTCGTGGGTAGTATAAACTACAAGTTCCTGTCCACTAATACTTCTTTTTAACTTTCCAGCCACCTCTTTAAAGTAAAAAAATGTGGAAGGTTTGTTCTGAGGTTAGTTGTTGGGGCTCTCAATGGGTGTTTGTGAAGTTGCTCTTACTCTCCAAGACCCGAGACCCGATATAGCTGGCTATATAGTGCGCTCTTAACTCAACCCCGTTATGTGCGTCTGTCATAGTGAGTGTAAACTACAAAGTCCTTTTCTTAGAGGCTTTGTTTTTCCTTTCTAGCCGCCTCTCTCAAGTATAAAAAGAGTGAATTGCCTCGTCGCTCCTGAAGTAGGTATCTTAAACTTCATGCAGTGCCCACAATGCCGGTTATGCACGGTGGCGGCGGTTGATACTTTAAAGAGAAAGAAGCGTAAAGAGCTAAGGCATTGTAGTTACTTTATTCCTTTATTATAGCCCTTGCCGGAGCTGTTAGTCTCATTGCGCTTCTTAATAAGGACATAAGGAGGGCCATAATAGTCTTACCCTCGTCGGACTTGAGATTGCACTCGGCTGGTATAACCGACTTATCAACGCAGCCGTATCAATGCACGATACGTACGTGAACGAACGTGAAGCATAGTAAAGAGATGTATCCTGATAGTTGAGGACTATCTTGGAAGCACTAGATCAGAGGAGCCCAAGTATCCGCCCTAGTAGCATGAGCACCAAATGGGGTACCAAATGAACTAACTACTAGCAGTACCCGCAGAACGAGAGCCATAAGGATCCAGAGCCTCCATGGCTTTCTGCTCTCTTTTATTGAGACACAAGACGTTCTGCTTCCTCCTAAGACAGCGCGACACGTGATCTAGAGCACAAACCAATGAGTAAACTTCCCCTTTCCTGAGATGCGTAATCTGTGACGGTGATCCTCCATGCCTAAGTTATCCCTTTCTCCTCTATTAATAATAGTCCAAAACATGAATTCGATCTGTAGACAAAAACAACACGAGGATCTCAAGCATAAGTCAATGAATGAAGTGCACCCGTTTCCAAGATACGCACCGTCGGCGACGTGCACGTAATTCTCTACAGAAAAGTCATTCCTCTCCCCTCATTTCAGAGCATAGCACACCAGGAGCTTCTCCGAGCTAGGTCTCATGCATCGAGCACACATGGATAGAACAGAACATGCCCCTCCCAGGACGTACACCATCAATGACACCCACGTAATTGTGTCATAAAATAAGAAAGAGCAAGGTAACTAGCTATCGAAGAACGACCTACGAGCCACGAAAAATTGCCTTGCTTCTTCTCCTCCTTGCTTGAGGCAATATAAACAGTGGTTTTCCTTCTTCTCATGACCACTTACCTAGACATACATTCAAGATACACGGTAACGAATACGTACACATAGATACACAAAACCCTCGCTTATCTAATACTAGCCATTTCGCTTCAACGTATTCGCCCGCGAACGTCGCCAGGGCTGGAAACGAGGTATAAGAGACGCCTTGGATACAGCCTTGTTCTTTTTCCTTCAGAAAAGAACAAAAACGTAAAGCCAGGAAAACTAAGAGCAACGAGGGGTCTAGCACTCCAAGACGACGGAAGGTGAGTTCATATCCCCTGAAACAGGCAATCGGCGTCTACCGCACGCAGATCTTATTTTGCTTCTTCTAAACGTGACCGTGGAAGACAGCATAGTCTTAAACAACGTTACTCAGAACTTCCAAAGAGTTCTAAAATCTGCTCAGCATGGCTAAATGGGATGAGAACCGATCTGAATTTTGGATTCTTTAATAGTCTGATTGAAGTAGTTGTGACAAACTTCCTCTTATAACTCCCCAAACCAATACCCGACTCTACCTCACAAAAATCAGAGTCTGTACGTCTCCAAAACACGCTTTGCAATCCCGCAAATCGCTTGCCACCCACTTGTCTCAACCCCTTCCACTATAGCCCCTTAACCTTGCCTACGCCCGCCGGTGCTCATCAGCGTGATCTTCTGCTTCTTCTTCTTTCCCTTACCGGCTCCTCCCGATCCACCGCCGCCATTACTGCTGCTACTAGCTGCCCCAAAGGCCGTACTACTGCTAGAGGGACCGGACTCCGTCACACCCAAAGCCTCCATCTGGAAAGAAAGCTCCTGAGGTCCCCACAAATCTTCATCCTTGAGCCACCCGTCATCAAGTTGACGCATTGAAACCGGGGCGAGCTCTGGTGAGCCAGGCACAACAGAGGTGCCCCACACAGTTTTCTGCGTGGAAGGACTCGTAGAAATGGTTGCGAGATGCTCGAAACCTGGTCGCGGATCGGGCGGCGTAGCATTGGCGTGGCTTGATAGGGGTTGGAACTCTTCCAAGTTCAACGCAGGAACGTGATCCTCTTCGATCGGTCCATAGTCACGTCGCATAGCCGCGGTGCTCTTGAACTGGGCAGCCTCAATCCTTTCGGATTGAAGCCTCTCACGTTCTTCCTGTACGGCCTTGTCGCGATTCCGCTTTCTTCGCCGGCCGATCTCATCAGCGAACTTCTCGAGGACATCAGCCGACACAATGTCTGTCCAATCGCATTCCAAAAAACTGATTCGGCAACCATACGGAAGATGACCCAGATACTTGGCCCGCTTTCTCTGCACCTCATCTAGGACATGGCCTGTTGAAATGTGCTCGACGCGAGGCAGCAACGTAGATGGAAATGCAGAGAAGTCGCCATATTTCGTCTTGAGAATACGTATATCGAGAGCTGATAGGTAGAGATGCGGCTGTGATGAGTAGAAGTAGAAGTCAGGCTGAACAGTCTTGTTCTGATTGCCCAGCTTCTTATTTGGCAGCATGGAATCGTTCCTGCCAAGATCTTGAACCTTCTCCTTCGCCGCATCAATGGCCCGGATCGCTTTCTTGGTCCATTCGTCGTCGTCGTGGTAAAGAAGTTGGTCCTCGGTGCCTTGTTTGCGCAGCGCCTCAATCTCTTCGTTGAATTGCTCTAGCATGTAGTCTCCAGTTCCCTTCATGATCCTGGCGTAATCTAGAACATTGGCTGCAAAGTGCCAGGGCACGTCATCTGACACGTTGAGCGCGTCAGAACCATTCTCCCAAGGCAATGCGAGGGTCGACTTGGATGTCCGGGCCATAAGGCGTAGCACAACGTCATCGCCAACTCGCGGCAGAGGGCTCTCCTGTCCTGCGTAGAAACGCACGGGCCGTGTCTCGTGAAGGTAGACGCTGTCTTCGCAGAGCGGGCATTTCTTCCACCTTGCACCTTTGCCATGCTTCGAGTCCTCATCTGTCGAGTTCATAAACCGAATCAGACATGGGAGGCAGAAAATATGACCGCACTTTGCCATTCGTGGCGCCACCGGCTCTGACAGACAGATCGGGCAACTAGCCCCCTGCGACTCGGACGAGGCCAAAATCTGCAGGACGTTATTCCAATCGATATGAACATCGGCGTCAGCCGCTTGGCTAGCGTAATTGCCTTCTGGTGAGACAACAAATCTGTAATTCGCATGCACGTATCTCGCCTTGTCTACGGCGTGGTGTCCCGAACCAGGTCCCCAGGTCGGATTCCGTCTATAATTCCGAGCATAAGAATGATGATCCGCGTAGGCACTCGGCGGACGACTGTAGTTCAGAAGATGTGTAATTGAGGTCTGACCTCGTCGACTGTTGGCATTCCCTATGGCCCGTATCTCGGCCATGGCATCGTCATCGTCTGGGTTTGCGTGTCGGGCATCGCCAAGTCCCGGTCTTCGCTGCATCTTGTGTTGCTTCCGAGAGCCCTGACCCTTTCGGGGGGCTGCGTGAGGAAACGAAGGACTGGGTTGGGAGGGTCGGCGGTTGGATTCGAAGCTCGAGGCGACTGGACCAGGCTGAATCGAAGGCGAATGGGAAGTCGATGCTGAAAGGGACTTGCCCAAGTTGGACGGAGTCGAGCTCATATTCGGGTACCCGGTTTTCGTAAGTGAACGTGACAGAACAGCTTACCCGCTGGCGGAAGCTTTGATCGATTCAATCGGCCCCCCTTGGCCAATGTCGTGATGCAATGCGACGCGAGCGAAGGGAACGAAAGGACGGATCGGAGGTTGCCACTGCAGGCCAACTGACCCAAGGCTATCTGAACAAAAACAAGTATATCGAGGAGGAGAGAGGTAAAAGAAACTTGAACGCCCCGGCTGAGGTGCTGTGGTTAGATGAAGGGAGATGTTGAATGTAGAAGAAGACGGGGTCCAAAGTGGACGGACCCCATGAATGACGGGTGGGGATCAGGTAATCGGATGTCGAGAGGATGCCGCAGCTGTAGCAGTAACAGTACGTAGAGTCATTGGCGGGGCAAATCGAAGTTGCCGTGACGCTCTTGAGGGAAAGCTCGGCACCCGGGAGTACGTACTGGGTTGCCGAACGGCTGGAATCATCACGTGACTCGGTCCCCTCCGCCGCCGTTGGCAGTCACGACTCGAGACCTCTTGCGTGCATCAATCAGGTTGTTTCGTTTGACATGCAGAACAGCATATATGTGCCTGGCACCTGAAGCGTTATTTTGATGTGACGAATTAAAACGGCGTGTCAAGTCACAAGTTTACTCCACTGGACTCTACCTACCATTGACCTCTTCTCTGTTCCAATTACTTCATCCATATCGTCAGTAAGCAGTAGGAGATATTATATACATGCCTCAGAAGCAGTCAGCCACGGGTGTTTACTAACTCATCATATTGGCTCAATTGATCATATGCAAATTAGGTTCGAACGAGGTATTATGGTACAGGATAGTCCGATGCAGATGAGCCGTGTGAAGTACCAACAAAAGGAGCAAAACTGAAAGAGACGGCAGTCCACATCACCCTCAATTAATTCTAGAGGCCCAACAGAGATGGCCGTACTTCCAACGTCGTCGACATACAGCTGCCATGCCTCATTCTACCTCTCGAGCTCTTGCACATGCAAAGTGGACCAGGGGAATCATAGAAACGACAAACAACCCAAATACGCAGCACCCGACAAGAAAATCCACAAGAGCCGAGGCGAAAGACAATGCCTCCCATCCACATACATCCTAACGGCGAACGTTATCATCATTAAGCCGCTTATTTGCTGTGCACCTTGCTCTTGAGCTTGCCGATGAAGGCACTCAAGCGGTTCTTCTTCTTCTTCTCCGTGCCTGAAGGGCTCTCGGTGGGCTTGATGTTGCTCGGTGTCGTTGACTCGGGAACGGAGGATGGGGCCTTGGCAGGGGTGGTGGGAACTTCGGGCTCCTTGGTGGAGGTGAGGCTGGCGCCGTTGGTGGTGTGAGCACCGTTGGCACCGTTGGCCTCCTTTGTAGAGTCATCCTTGGTGACAGCAGCCTTAACCTCCTGCTTGGCAAGCTTGGCCTCCTCCTTGACGGCCTCAGTCTTGGTCTTCTCGCCCTCCTTGACTTCCTCCTTGGTCTCCTTGACCTCCTCCTTGGCAGCCTCAACCTTGGGCTTCTCGGCCTCGACCTTGGTCTCCTCACCGACGGCGGGGACAGGCTTGACCTCCTTGAGAAGCTCAGCTTCGACCTCCTTCTTCTCGATAACGGCCTCGGTGTTGGCGGCAGCCTCGGGGCTCTTGCCGGCCTCGGCGATAGACTCCTTGACGACGGTGGGGACCTCGGGGGCGACCTCTTCACGGGTCTCCTCCTTGGTCTGACCGCCGATGGCCTCCTGAACACTCACGGGCAGGCTCTCCTTGACGGGCTCAGGAAGCTGAGCAGCGGCGTCAGTGGCGGCAACGGTAGCCTGCTCAACGTGAGGAGCAGCAGCCTCGACGACAGTGTCCTTGGCGTTGATGGCAGCGGCAGCAGCGAGACCACCAACAGTGGCAGCGGTAGCAACGACGACACCAGCGGCCTCAGTCTTCTGAGTGCCGAAGCCGGCGGTGCCCTCAGAAGTCGAGGGAGCGGTGGGTACCTTCTCGAGGAGCTCATCCTCAACAACGGCCTTCTCCTGGACGGCCTCGGGGTTTGCGCTGGCCTCAGGCTCGGCGTGAGCCTTCTCCTGGCTCTCCTTGACAACGTCGGGAACCTCGGCAGTCTTGGTCTCGAGAGGAACCTCGGCAGCCAGAGCAGCGGTGGTGGATGTGGGTGCGGCGCTGTTGATGGTGGCATCTGCGGTCGCAATGGGCAAGCTAGACTCGGGGATCGTGTTGCTGGTGACCTCAGGGACGGTGGTCTCCTCCTTGGAGAGGCCGGGCAGAGCGCTCGAGTCCTCGTAACCCTCCTTGTCAAGCTTGACGTGCTCGTTGATATCGCCAGCCTTGAAAGACGCGGGAAGGGGTTCGCCGGGTGCAACGATTACGGGCTCAGCGGTAACATCTTGGGCGGGAATAGGGTTCACACCAATGAACTTGTCAAGCTCGTTGGCGGGGGTGACGGGGAAGCCGCCGGGAATGTCGGAGGGGGTAGCTTGGGGAAGCTCCTCCTTGTTCTCGATAGGCACGTCCTTGGCCAAGGCGGCGGTGGTAGATTCGGGAGTAACAGTGTTCATGACTGCGGCGGTAGTGTCCTCCTTGACGATTTGGTCGGGGGTCAGGAAGTTGTTTACGTTGCCCTCGTGATCAGGTTCTTGAGGGGCAGTGTGGTCTGTGATCCAGTTGTTGTCGACGACAAACTATAGAGGGGGAAGAGAAAGCAAGTCAGTAAAAATTGTCAACGATGACGATGTTTTTAAGCGAAATCCGGTGGGCAGCACAGCGGTGGTGCAATGGGTCCTTTGGGGGGCAGATATGACGACGCGCGGCGAACCAAGTGTGGGAGATCAGCTGGGAGCGCGATCTGGGTGTCGCCGATGGTTATAAAGGCCAGGTGAGGAAAGATAGCCCGTATCCGCCAGAACAAGAACCCAGGCAAATTGGAAGGTGGTGGTTCCTGGCGCGTTGCGCTGCCGCTTGTTCCTTGGCCGCGGGCATGGCTGTTGGTTCCTGGCCTGGGCTGGCACGGCTGGGTGGTGGTGGCCGTGGTGGTGCTTGTCCTTGTGTACCCTGGGTACCTTGGGGTGTATCCAGGTGTGTGTACCGTGTTTGGTGGCACCTAGTCTGGAAGGCTAGCCCCGAAGTTGCTAGACATTTTGGCACATTGTTGTGTGATGAAAGGTGCCATGGTCCTTGGTGGCTGCTGGTGCTGGATCCTGCCGCTCTCCGGTGTCTCTCTTCTTTCTTGCGTTGCAATTTGCGAAAAGGCCACACGCAGCTGCGAACGCGACCATGCTCGCATGGGGGACCCTGGTCAAGATTGACGCTCTTTTCGCTCCCCACAGAATACAAAAGGAGCAATGAACCTGGAAAACCTTGTTCATTGCTTTTTTGGTCCTGTGGAAAAGCGGAGCTCCCACCCGCCGCTCTGCTCGGGATCCGCCAGCCAATCTTGCCAATTGCCCACCTGGGCCACCGTCAAGCGTCAAGACTCAAGGCAACCACGCCGCTGCTGTGCTTCTGTCGCAGTAAGCTGCTGCAAGAACTGGTGGGTTTGCGTCATTCGGAGCCGGGATAGTCGGCCAGCAACAACCAACCTCCGAGACCCGCGTATGACTCTTCTTTTTCTTTCTCCAATTTACCCATTACAGCCATGTGCAGAACCAGTCTGAAATATGTTTTGCAGCCCCGATTGCGCAGGCTATACGCGGGGGGGGGGGAGCAGACAGAGCAGAAAACCCCAACGGGAAAGCAGCGGCGTTAGCGCGAAATAAGTCGACAACACAATGTGGCCGTAGGAGCAATAGTGAGAGAATTGTCGAAAAAAGACCGAAAAGACCCCAGCAGACTTTGTGTGGCTCAGCGGAGCGCGAAGCAAATTGCGTGAGGGCCAGGGGCCTGGACACGCCAAATTGCGAGATGGTGATAAAAGCCCGATCCTATGACGAGCCGCAACCGAGCTGTGGCCTGCAGCTGACGGGGAAGCTGGAACTAGAGCTGCCCTGGAGCTGGGGAGAAGCTTCCACCAGTAAATGGCCTGGCAACCCAGCCCTTTCCTTCTTCCCCCTCCAAGACGGGGGCGACAGCGATTGCGATTGATGGACAAGGGACCTGGATGGGTGCACGGATGCTGTCGCGGGCTGAGCGATGCGGCGTCGCTGCTTTCGATCGGAGTCCTTGTTCGCGCTCTCATACAACGCTCCATCGACTCCGCCGCCTGTGCTGCTGCTGGTGCTGCTGATGCTGCTGTCGTCGCTGCCCCTCCATGACCGAGAGGGTTCCCAACAATTGCGCGCCGTGATAAGGGATTCCGGAGTTGCCGTCGTGTTCGAAAAAACCGTGTGGGATGGACCAATGGTTACGTGGTACAAGAGAAAGCGCCTGAATTGGCTGGTACGAACCTTATAGTAGATCTTCTCCGATGCGTCGGCGAGTGTGACGGTCTTCTCGAAAGAGCTGCCGACCTTTTCCAACTTCTCGCTCTTAGTCCAGTTGTCGAAAGTGCCGGTAACGTAAACCTCCTCGGCCGGGTGAGCCCTACAGTGGGACGCAAAGGTTAGCAAGGTTTTTGATCCAACTGGGAGGCTTGCTTTTTCGCTGGAGACGATGCGAACGGTGCCGATGGTGGTGAGGTCGCCGCGGACGGGGCCTAAGGGCCATGTGAAAGAAAGTTTGCATTCCACATGTCCTTTGACGAAAGCATGCAAGCCAACCGCCGTCTCCAAGCGCCGGACGGTAGAGAAGCAATGCAAGGAGGGGCATTGGGATTCCGTCGCATTCCAGTAGTGATGTTCATGTAAGGGTATTGCGACTCAGAATCTAGAGGGAGATGGGCTGGCGGGGAGGGGGAAATGCGGGCGGAGTCGATGAGCATACCAGGTGAACTTGTAAGTGCCCATTGTGATGAATGTGAGGGCTGCTTCTTTTCGAAAGAGGGGCAATTGGAATTACTCGGTTCGGTGCGAGTGCCTCGTCGTCGGCAGGAACAATGTGAAAGAAAGGGCAGGTGAGGATTCGAGCTTCGAACAACAGGAAGAAGGTAGGAAGGAGAGGTTAGTTGGAAAAAAGAGGAAGAAAAAGTTGAGGGATGAGAATTGAGCGGCGGGAACCCCCAAAAATTATTGCGCGCGCGTGGCAGAGAAATAATTGCTGGGGTCGGGGGTGTGGGAAGGTGGGCGGCGCAAAAGTCGTCCGTAGTCTACGCACCTCAGTATAAGAGGAGAGGAGAGGTACGGAGTACACTACCTAAGGTGTGTAATCACTGGCGTGTGTGACTGTGAGGCGTGTGAGGTGTGTTGGTCTGAAGGTGGTTGCAGGCGCAGATGGCCCCGGCCCAATTCGACTTGACCTGAACTGACGGTGACGGGACCGTCCCTCGTTCGGCGACGCCAGCGTCCAACG